GACAAAACGTGACATTTTTTGCGAGTAAATCAAGGCACAAAATCGGAAATGCCGATCTCTGAGTCGACTTATCAATCAGCGGAAAGTTATGAAGGCCGGTTGTTCCGGGCCAGATGTGCGTGGGCAATAATCATTTGTTGAAAGACAATCGGATTGAGGCATAGACAGTGGCGTAGCTATAGTCCAAACATCCCTAGGGCCAAATCATATATTGCGTCCCTCAAGAAAATAGGTATAAATGACTTTCTCATGCGTATCAGTCACCATAAATCAGAAAATATTATAATAAATGTGCTCAATATTAGCTAAATAAACAACTCTGTTGTTAATATAATAACAATACACCTACTACATATTAATTTAAATTAGCTTAATGCTAGTTCATCAAAATGTATTTTTCCTTATGTAATAGTTAATATACGAATATTCTAATGATAAGTATTATGTATATATAAATATATTATATTAGCATATTATTAATAATAATTTTAAAAATGTAATTAAATCATAAAACATTTTTTTGCTTCATAATACGTACCTATAACACTTATGTACAGAATTCTTAGGAAAAATTATTTTCAATAGCTTTGTCTATTGTATTTTCGTAGTCGACCTGTCGTTTAGATATAGTACAACAATTTATGTGTCCGAAAACAGTACGGATTAAACAATATTTGCAAACGCACATGTTACATTGTATAACACGTCATACGATATCCTTATCAACGGTATACAGTTTTAGTGAGTACAGTTTTTAATTTCCTATCTATTTTATAATTGTTGGGGTCGAATGAGTTGTTAATTGTAATAAAAAAATTTAATTCGGTAGGTAGTCTGACACACCAAACACGATTTATATCGATTAATTTGACTTAATATCGGAAACAATCAGGTTAAATAGAAAATTTTAAATTTGGTGGCAATTCAAGTACCTACTTATATTCTCCATTTTAAAAAATGTACCGGAGTCAATTCGAATGCGCCTAAAATATTGGCGTTATAAAAACGTGTTGATGCTGTATACATATATTATAATAAACCTATTGAAATATAAAACATTATATAACACGATTTATTGGCGTTCTTTATCACACGCAAACAGAAGTGTACGAGTAGAGCGTAAATTTATGAACATACATAAAAATATTTTACATCACGAAATTGTTATGCATATAATTCCTATAATGTCAAGAGTTTTTGTATCGGATCGGCAACGAATTGGACAGTAAATATTTCTTGTTTAACAATGTACTTTGTTTCGAGGTATTAGTACCGAATTTCATCGGGAAAAAAAATAAACGTTTTGTTTAACTTATTTTCTGGATATACAGCTTGAGTCGCTTATAAAATAATATAATCTACTCAGATGACATATTGTATTTTCGTGGTCGAATTAGTAATATCATTGGTTATTACTAGTGTTTATAATCAATGGGAATATTTACTTTGGGAACAATACCGAATATACTATTACCAAATTATACACTCTCGTTAAATTTATAACCAATGCTATTATAACATAACTAAAGAAATTGTAAGTTTGTATCCTAGTCAATATTTCGTCAAGTTAATCGTAGGTGAATAATCCATAAATTTGAATAGTATTTACGCAACTTTCATATTTAATTATGAAAAGAAAACTTTGATACTGTTTCATTTACCTTATTAAAATCTTTGAAAAGGAAAAAATTACTTAATTAACCGATCAATTTAGGCTTAGCAACAATAGTTATTCTTATGTATTTTTATGCTTTATCCAATAGAACGGATACCTACGTACCTAACTACGTAAGTTAAGTTATACAAAACACTGATAAATTAAAATAATATATTAAAATTATATTAAATTAAAACAAAATTTAAATGTAAATAAAATCCCCAAACTTAATAACCTTGAAATTTTATAACCGAATTTTATATTCTTATCGTTTCTTATAGGTATATTTCCTCATCTAACGCTTTTTTTTCTTGTTTCTAACGCATCTACTCGTGGAAAAATGTATATATTCGTATTGGTACAGATGAATAAAGATTTAACAAGTTAATACGTGGACAGTATGTCGTAATTTCAACCGAGTATTTACTTACACAATAAAAATAATTTATTTTACCTTTATCAATAGTTTGATTTTCTATGAATATAATTATAACTTGAAAAGTAGTCATACATTTTTTTTTTTATAATGATATTGTTATATTCACTATTCATTTTTCATTGATTTATAACATAATTTCTTTTTCTCGTTTTCCGCTTTTGTCACAATATTTTCCTAATACATTTCTCTTGCACACCTTTATTATTCATCACCATTTAGTATTTTACATGAATATACCAAACGGAATGTTATCTTTGTCTTTTCCTCAACGATTATACATAATTTACCTTAAAAAAAAATCTATTATTTATACCTACCTGTTTTTTGTCCTGTTATCGATCATTCTAATACACTCAAAATTGTCTTTTCTTCTAAATTTAACATGTTTGTATAATATAATCCAATATATCAACGTCGTTTGGTAATATTATTAAACATGACTTTTACTTATAGTACCTAAACGTAATTATAACATAAATAAATATATTACATTCAAACACAGTGGGACGCAAAAATAAATACGAATAACATCAATAGATTTTTACAATGTTTTTAAAAACAATTTGATAATAATTAATTGTCATTAGGTCTGCCAGGTACAATATATATATATATATCTTTCATGTAACATGAGTTTACGATAAATTTTTACTACCGGTAAACCAATTTTATATTTATTGAAAGTCGTTAAAATAAAAAAGTTCTAAATTAGCTACACGCTACAGTTTTTGTCTGTGTACGGTGTAGTTCGACTATATTTTGTTCGTAAGTCGGTGGACGACCACACAGTACATTTTGTTTCGTTGTACGTTATTTGAATAACACCGACCGTTTTATTCGAACACCAAATTTGACCACACATCACATTTATTATTTTTTCAGTTTTCCTGTGGACGCTCTAGTTCCCGCAGTTCCGCATATTATTGCTCCTGATTCGCGAATCTTACATTTAGCTTTAACAGCTACTGCCTTGGCATTGGTCCTTAAAACTAAAAATAATAAATAAAACAGGAAATGGGCTAATGATTGACTACTGAAAACATCGCAATATTTGCATGTACATTATTTAAACAAATTATAGTTCCATCCTGAAGACTGGCACAATTACTTAAGGATGGATGAAGTAACCTACTTTGAATTACTTCAATTAATTACGCCTTTAATAGTAAAACAAGATATGAAAATCGATCACCATCATGAGCGATTGACATTGCGCTTTATAGCTTCTGGTTGCAGTTACAAACACCTACAATTTACAACCATCATATCTCCAAAATTATTGGGTGAAATTATTCCAACCATATATTTATTTATAAACTAGCTAAATTATCCACGGTTTCATACGTTATATTCCATGTGAAGTAGAAACTCGACCCACCGTCACTGTCGGGACGGTTAGGTTAGACATTTTGCAATATACGTGTATATTTTATAACATGCGTATATTCAGAAAAAATAATATTAATATATTCTATATAATAAAATAATAAAAATAATACCATAATTAATTATTATTATTATTAATTATTATTAATTAATTATAATACCATAATAAAATACTACTAAACTAAAACTAACAATTTTAAACTTAATAATCTGTTATTTTCTTTTGATGCTCAACCTTTTTTCCAGTAATATTTCGTATTTTACGTAGCCATGAGACTGGGTTACTCGTCAGTCACTGATTAAATTAAATTAAAAATAATTAAATTTGTTCGTTCACGTCGCATCTGTTGGATATAAGAAAAAAATGTGTATACGCTTGATAATCGCCACAACTGGTTTATCGCGATTGTCTCATTAACGATAGCGATGACGGATAACAGAGTGACGGTTAATCGAGTTTCTACTGCACATAAATTATAATACATCGAGTCCGTTATATTATTAATAAATTTAAAAATTAAAATGCTTAAATTATTTAAATTAAAAAGTTTTTAAAACTAACTGTACAGTATTAGTCTGAACACCGAACACGGACAAAAAAAAAAAAAAAATCAAACTCTTCAGTTTTTATTCCGTTTCTATGTATGGTGTTTTGCATATTTTTTTGTTGTCCACACACCATCGGTGTACGCTGTTCAAACTACACCGCAAACGGACAAATAAAACCGTAGTGTGTGATCACCTTTACAAGGAATAAAATTTTTATAATTTCGAAAGATTACCTAACCAGATCTGTCGTAGACCGACTGGGTCCCAGTTATTACTATTTCCCTAGTTACTAATTCTCGAATGCGTGATCACCTGTAGAGAACCAAACGATGTGGCGTGTCACGTCACGATCAACAACACAACATGATTGAATAACCCTCAAATAGTCGTCGAGATTTAATAATAGGTAACTAAAATCTCTCAATATTCTTAAAAAAATCTCTATTTGTCTTAAAAATTATTTTTGTATAATTCAATAGTTTACAAGAAAATTGATTTTTTTTTATTTTTTTAAGCTAAATATATTTTAATTTAAAATCTTGAAACAGAATATTATTTCAAAAAGTTATACGTTAATTAAAATTACAAAATTAAAAAATCAAACAGGTAGTTTATTACTTAAAATTTATAAATAATAAGTAATCAACCGTGAAAATGACTGCATCTTATACTTACATCTACACGTTTTTACGTGTCGTAAATCGATAAATAAATCAGTCGATACCAATGATAGTTTACATGTTAATAATACCCGCAATACGTATTTTAATTAAATACACAATATAAATATCGACATAAATTGATACTTCTGTTTAATTATAGATTGATGATTATGGATGATTATTTAAATGACAATTATGTGATTTTCTAAAACTAGAAAACATAAAAAAATGAAAAACCGTTATGAAATTTACAATATTTTATTTTAACCCAAAAACTTTTGAATTTATTTTTAAAACTGTAACATTATTAATATTTCAATTCTTATGTAATATTGTTCTATATATATTTTGTCTTGGACTTGAGCGCATTTAATTGAATTTACACTTGGAAAAGTCCATCTCGGGGTGTTGTTCCATAAACCTGTAAAAATATTAACGGTTAAAACAATAAAAGTGAAATCATAAAATAAACTTACTTTTGGAGAACGTTCTGTTTTTTCTGCTCGTCTGACGTAGGTAATCCCATATTTCTTTGTTGTTGGTCGTACATCATTTTCTCCACCATGGATCTAGTTTCACCCTCTAAGTCGGAAAGTTTAGATGGCTCAGGGTTGATTTTTTTAGTAGATATCTCTTGATCCGAAACCACTAACTTTGACCACCATTCCATTTTGTTCACCTAAATACGTGATATTTTTTTTTTTATCGACCGTCGTAATACGAATGTAATTATACAAATATATATATATATAACTAAATGCATAATGACGTATTTTTAAATACTGAATACATATATCGATCTAAAATAATAATCCCAGCAATATAACATTGCCTAATTCAGTGGTAGTTATAAGAAGGACGATATGTGGATCCTTTGAGATTCGAATTTTTTTAAATTTAGTATATCGCTGGTCCAACAACTTCAAATTTTTAAAATTATGATTTGATAGCAAAATATTTTTCCATTTTAACCATGGATAATATATTATCATACTCTATGTCTTGATCACGCAGGATCGATATAATTATAATCATAATAATTTTTAATATTATTATTATAAGATAATTTTATAAATCATTACATTTATATCCTTTTTAATATATAAACATTAAAAGTGTGTACTACATATTTATGATAAAATAATTAAAAATTCTAAAATATAGAGTACAAGATAAATTTAAGTAGAAAAAATATTAAGGAACAAAGATAAAGCTATTAGATTAAAAACATCCAATAATTTATGTTACAAAGAATATTGAAGCATTCAATAATTCATAAGTACCTAAATTATATTAAATTCTTCAAGTCGGTTTTATGGTAACAAAAATAATTCAATGAATATGTGTACACCAATTACGATATAAGTATATAATAATAATATGTAAATATTTTACCTTTTCAATATTAATGAGGAACGTTTTTCCATCTTCGAGCAGCCAAGTGGTTTCTTCGAGTTTGATTTCATGTTGTAGTTCATCATCCAATATCGGTGGCTGTCCCTTTATACCAACGTAAATATGTTTCTTTTTCAAATTCACAATTACATCCCGTGGTCTCAATTTGAATGCTGCTTTAGATGGAATTTTAAGCTGTAAGAAAAAATATATAGTGTATAATTTATTATATATCATATAATCAATGTGTATAGATTTTATATACTCTTATAAAGATCATTTATACATCAGTCTTGCAGAACATTTCAAGGTTAATATATAGAACACGGTTATTAAGTTATAAAAGTATCTTTGTCATCATTACGCAACATGCTTTCATTAAAAAACGTTAATGATTATTGAGATTTGATAAGGAAAAAATCTAGAATTTAATGTAAGTAAAATTTATACTACATTTACACTGCAGAAATATGTTATATTAAAAAAAAAGGATAAAAATACGCCTATTATACTTTTCAATTTTATTATTTAAAATTAATGTAGTAAAATATTTATTATGCTGATCAACTTTTTTCATTTCTATAATTTTTTTCATTTTTATAAATAATAATTAAGTTCTTATTTTTCAAAATCATAGTGGTGAATATTATACCCTATTATAGTCCTAAATTACTAAAAGGATCAAGATATTCACAGATAATATGTTTATTTTAATATCCAAAAAAAATTATCGCTGTCGCTTGTTAAGTTTTCATAAGCTCTATGTTTTAAGGTGGGTTCCCACGGCGCGTGGCTCGGCGAGCTTAAGGCGGCGTGCTTGGTGTTCCAAGCCTACTACTATGTTTGGCATATCACGAGCTTACAATTTCTACATCATTCCCACGGTGCGTAACTTGATGAGCCACGAACTTACCCGAGCCAACCAAAGCTCCTTCAAAATTAAGCCGTTGAATTTTTCAGTTTAAAATGATTAGAACTCTAGATCAAACACAAATTAATGCTGTGCAGCTGCCTATTTTGTAATTTGCGGTGAGTATTTGTAAAAAAAAAAAATTAGTTGAAAAACAAAATTAATGGTTGGGCTTCATATAATTTCAAAAACACTAGAACTTAATCGTTAGACTATTCCATGGTTTTTTTTTTTTTTTTTTTTAAATTTAGTTCAATTATAATCAAATATTATAAATATTTTATTATATAATATATTAATTATCAAATATTTAAAATTTAAAAAAATCAAAAAAATTTATATCAATATCGAATGTGTTATCAAAATGCACACAACATATAATAAAATAAAAATCCACTATTTTATACAACACATAATACTTTTATTTAATAACAATTTAGTAACTTCAGTTTCAGCGCAAACATATCGTTTTTTATGTCCAATAGAGATTCTTAAAATTTAAAAATCAAGTACTGACAGATCAACTTAAATAAATAAATACCTAAGAATTATAACCAATATCAAATGAACAATAAATCGTATACATTAAACAAAATAAATTGCAAACGTAAGTTTTTTGATTTGAAAATAATGGACAAAAATGTATGGCATCATATTTTATCATATATTATAACATAAATAATTCGTGTTTAAAACAAATAAAACAAATATGGAGCCTGTGCTTATCGTTTATTGTTATGAATAGTTAATAATAAAATTATTAGAAACCCCATGTTGATACTCTACAAATATTACAAAATTCACAGTTATGAAAATCTTAATTTTTTTATTACAATAACATTTTTTTTTTTTTTTTTTGAAATTTGTAGTTATGATTTCAAGACGAAAAAATTAATTTAATTATAAACACTAAAATTTTTTAAAATTAAGAACTCATCAAATAGGAATATTTTATCATTTTTTTTCGATTGTTATGCTAATTTAATTTAATTTATGCAATAATTAAAATTATAAAAGTCTATACAATGTATTTAAAATATTAAAACCAGAACCAACAACTATAAAATAAAAATAAAAGATATTAATTCACAATACAATTAAAATGTAATAAACAGGAGCCATTTTTAAAAGCCAAAAATTAAAACGGTTATAAAAAATATATTTAGTAAATTGTTTATAGTTAAAGATAACTTCTAAAGATATAAATAGTTCAAATAACTATATCATATAATAAGTAAATGTTACATATACTTTACTGTGCCTGCCTGCATATATATATATATATTACTAGTATGATTCATCAATTTATGTGTTGAAACTCTTCCAGTTCTGGCATTCCCAAATGTTTTTTCTATAACTATATAAACCAACACCACTACCAAAATAAAATTATCGTGACCAAAGAAGAATGTACTTCATAAGATAGAAAACGTTTTGGCCGTTTTCTCGTAGCCTTGACAGAGATTAGGAATTTCCATAATGGTCATGAAAAATCCATAAACACTTAACTGAAGAGCACAAATGACTATTATTTTACTTAGTCGCTAGGTATGTCGATATATTCTATAAAATGTATAAGAAATGTTTAAATTCATTTAGTAAAAAAAATACAACTTAAAACATAACTTTTTAACACATTAACCTGTATAAAATTAACGAAAATTATAGACAATACCAATATTTCAAAAAAATTCGTAAAAATGCTTAATATAATAATAAATTGAAACATTAAATTAGTTTATCAGGATTAATCTGATTAGGATAATAAAAAAAGATAATAATATATACATTATATATTTACAGATTAATTTTAGTGTTTGTACTTCGTAAATCGATAAGGATAAATGTATTCGTAGTTCCTATGAAAAACAGAAACTCTATATGTGAAAATTAACGACCAGCAAAATTAATAACGTGACCAGAGTTTGATAATTACAAAAAACAAACGGTCCTGAACAAACAAAAAGCCGTCTGTCCATAAATGTCACGTTTCCCTATAGGATCACGTTCTTTTGACGTGCAAAAACTAAGTAAAAGATAATTACAGTAAATTACATACTGCTATATATTTAAAAATATATATATATTATTTTTCATTTACAACAAAAATGAGCTATTACCTGTTTACATTCAATAATATTTCATAAACTTTACAGTAACTAAGAGTCAAAAATGAACTACTAAAATAATATATCAAAATTCCATAAAAACCTTCATGACAAAAAAATTCTATTAATTCTATTAATACTTATAAAATTGAACAAAATACTTTAAAATAACATAATGCATTGTTTTTCTGTACAGATTTAAAAAATCAAATTTTACCATGGTCGGTAATATTACAGAACTAAACTATATACATAAATTAAAAATAACAACCTACCTATACATAAGCAATTCTCAAAGATCATATTTATATATTTACTTACAATGGATATTTATAATAAAAACTAACAAAAATAATAGAAAGAAATAATAATTATAATAATAATTTACGACAAATGGAAATAAAATATATTGTATAAAATAAAAAATTCCTTACAGTAAAAAAAAATAGTTAAAAGTTGACAGTTATACAATCTATTTAATAATTGTTTTAAATACTTCTGTAATAAAAATATTATATTTTTAAGTCTTAATTCATCCTATTTATAAATGGTTTAATAGAACTATTGTAGGATACTTTAACTACTAAAAAAATATTATTTTTAGTAAAACCACATAAAAAACAAAACTTGTAGGTACATTTCTTCCTTAACTAAGAATCTGAAATAAAGAAATGCTATTTGAAATAAATTTAATATTATAATTATATCATTACAAAAATACAAGTAAAGTACTTCAAAATAAATAAACTCACTAATTATTTTTATTTTTTTTATTAATATTTACAAGAAAATGTTCCTAGGAGGTACCATCTTACATTTATAGCTATATTAATTATGATAATTTATGTTTAAATTACCTTATTATACTCTTCTTTTTTTTATTTTAATAAATCAGATGTTTAGAATATTCTGTTAATTATGATTTTTTCATACATTATTTCAAAAATAATTATACAGTAATATAAATACTGACACCTGTTGATTTCAATATTTGTCACATACTAATCATTGAAAAAACACACAAACAGTATATAGTAAATAATCAATAAACTATAATACCAAGATGCCTTGTAGTTCCAAACAGGTATTTTTTCAAAGTTATGAAACCTATTAATCAATTAAATATTACGAAATATCCTACAACTACTATATATTATTTAAGTTTTGTATGCAAAGAGATTTAAAATGAAAACGTAAAATACAACAAGATACTAAACTAAAAAGTGCGAGTACATATTTTTGGCGAATTTTTGAGGTCATGGAACATGAAACAACCACGGATTTGAAGTTCAATATCAGGATCAATGAATATTCCCACTCCACCACAACGTCTTGGCTATTATTACGTTAGTTATATAAAACACTCGTGCACTGTATTTATGCGGTGCATGTGATGTTGCTCCGGCCACTGGACATTATCAATAACGAGTGTTTCGTGTTGTGCACGTAGTTAATTTCAAAAAGAAAAGACCATCACGTCAGGAAGTTTTCTTTTTCAAATAACTATGAGTCCAAAACTAGACAGCGTTATTAACATTGATAACAACATTATAGATGTAAGTAAATTTCGGTTATATACTATATTTTTCACAACCATAAAAATACAACATAACTACTTTAAATTGAACACAAACTAAACAGATAATTATCATATATAATATATATCTAACAATGTAATATTATCTATAAGTACTTCATACTTTTCAAATATATTTTCAATTATTTTCAAAATTACTGAAACATATCACTGTTGATACTTAGGAATCAGGGGCTGATTTAGGCGTTTTGAGGCCTTAGGCAAAATAAAAAATGTGGTACTTTGTCAACAGTAACGTATCTATGCACCCCCCTTCCACGTATGAGTTGTATAAAACAAATTAATAATAACAATTTACTTGTATATGTTCACAAATACAAATATAATATTATATTTATTTTATACGATGAAAGTTGTGTTGAAAAAAAAATGTTCATAAAAATTCGAGACTTCCTAATAACAAGCTAAATATAAAATCAATTATTTTGAAATCATAAATGTTACAATGTTATTCTAGAGTACCCAATCAAATCTGCACTAAAAGACAAATAAAATTGCTTCTAGAATTTTTTAATTATGTGATACAATGAGCTATCCACCACAAAAGACTAGAAAAATTGCATAATCAAATTATTTATTAATTGTATACAAACCATAATATAAACTATATCGTTATATAATAAAGAGAGGTATTTATAATCGTTTATTAATTGATATTATTCAATCATAATTACTAACAATGCCAAACCACTTTTTCATATAAAACAATTAATTTAAAGAAACTAAATACCAAATAAAATATAATCAAAATGTAATAATTAAATTATTCGCATAAACATCATATCAACATTTTGATTAATTTAGCTTATTAGTATACGCATGACTGAAAAAACCTTCATGCCACAAATTATTTTAATGGAATTATAAATATAAAGATAAATTATTGGCCTAAAAATCATCGATGTATTGTGTTTTTCACAAAAATTTAAAAAAAAAATTTAATTTTCAAAAAAGATCAATGGACAATGATGAATTAAAAATGATAATGACTGCCTTAAAATCCAAATAAATATGACTTCTAAATATATCTTCTACGAATAAACGATTATAGAAAATAATATATTAAAAAAAATGACCTTGCACTGAAACCAGAACTCTTGAACTCTATTAATCCGCCTTCATATCCGGATTTATATCCGTGAGCCTAAAAATATACTTATATGTATACTATAAATAATTTATATAATAATGTAAATATTCCAAGGTATAGTTCCAGGGTATTACTTAATTACGTCAATTTGACAGGTCCGTTGTAAATCATTACACTTAACCATTTTGAGTACGGTACTTTTTAATAGTAATAGTATTTATAAAAATGCAGAGTAAATTATTCTACAAATCCGTTATTTCGATACAATTATAAATCATAATAGATATTGTTTAATGTAAAACAAAAGCGAATGGAAATATATTTTAGTACAATAGTATTTTAAATTTAAACTAGTGATAGTGTTAAAACTATCTAAAAAAGATATTTAATTAAAACAATAAATGTATCAAATATAATTTAATTAATTAATTAAATTAGTACTAAACTACAATGAACATTTTTAAAGTAAAAATATAAGTAATATAATTCATGTAGGTTCACTTAAAATTTGATTTGAAATATCGGCAAAAAGTAATGAATCCATTTATAAACACTTACTAATATATATCACAATGATAATAGCATGTTCACACAGAAAAAATTGATAGCGATTGGCAATGAAACATATTTCACGTAGTCATAATTTCAAGATACCCCTTTTCATTTTCAAAAATGGTGATACTGTAATACCGATCTACTATTGTTATTTATTTCATAAATAACTTATAAAAACAGTTATCAGAGTAGGTACATTATAATAAGATAAATTATGTATAATCCCTCTACACTATATATATATATATATATATATACAGAGCATAAATTTAACAAATAAATGAAATTTCAATATTACATAATTATAATTATATAGATACAAATAAAAAATTTTGTAATAAAAACAAATTATTATACTGATTTTTATTTTATTTCATTACATATACATTTAGATATGGAATATACGAGTTAAAGAATAATAGAATTGGAACACATTATACGTATATTTTGCAACAGTTTTACATTTAAGTACAGAATAAGTCATTATTATACGGTATTTATGTAAATATAAATATATATATATACAGTGGAACCTCGATAACTCAAATTGGTCGGGGGAAAAAAAAAATTCGAGTTTTCAAAAATATTTTATTATAAGACACACAAACTTTATTTTATAATTTTATTTACTTATACCAAGTATAATACATGTATGTTTTACAATTTTCAAAAATGTATTCTACAATAAAATAAATAAGTAAATAATAAATAAAATAGGACTATTTTTAGAAGAAATTAAAGTATCTGTTAAATTTTCACTTATGTTGAGCGCAAAAAGAATTTAGTCTAGAATTTCTGGTTGTTCATGAATATATTTACATAGTATGTTTAAACCATCTAATGCCTGGGTGGCAAAAGTAGTTAAAGGCGATGGCAATTCCATATCATCAATAGTATCCAACTTCTCTTCACTTAACTCATTGGACATTTATTTAGTATTTACTATCGTAATTTATGAACGTGCACTATTTATACAAAATTTAGAATATAAATATCGAAAAATTGGAGTTTTAAATCAAAATTCAACTCAAATCACTTCGACTTATCACGTAATCCAAGTTAGCGAAATTCGAATTATTGATAAAATGCATTACACATATTACATACATTGAAATTCAGTAAACAAGGCATTCAATCGAGTTATCAAAGATTCAATTTATAAAGGTTCGAGTTATCGAAGTTCCATTGTATATATTATTTTTTTAAAAAAATAAAGAATTACATTTAATGAAATTAATATTGTATAAGTATTTATTAGTGATATAAATATCTTTGAAATATATACTCAATTAATTTCCACATGCCCTTATTTACGTCAAATAATAGCTTAAATTATGAATTATAATACAAATTAAAGAATACCTAGTGACTAAGATATTTATTTTAAAATATCTTCAACTATAATTAATGTATGTATATAAGGCACATGCACAACATATGAAACATATTCCATTTTCAACGAACCGATTAGTCAAATAGTTTAGTGATGCGGTAAAATTTTTAATAACTGAGATTCGTTAAGTAGGTAGTGTATTTAAATCACATTTTTCATAAATTTTTGGTAGTCTCGAAAAAAAAAATGTACAGAAAGCATAATCTATAGTATTTAAAAATTGTTTAAAACATGTATAATTGGGTAATATTTGTAGATCAGAAAAATAACAAAACAATAGGAAAATCAATCTCAATAATATTACACGAAGAATTTAAATGTTTTAAAATATTAACAATTTACTTGAATGGCTTCACTTAATCGGTCAAAACATTGAAAGTACGTTTTAATTATTTTCTATGAGGCTCGTGTGGTAGATATGACAAATAGTGCATTACTATTTTTAAACCCATAAGGGACTCACAGAGCCGTTTTTACAAAGGTCAAAATATGCAATATTACTACCAACGTAAGCATTCAAGTTGTGTGAATAAGAATAGAATAAATAATCATTAATGTTTGTGTATATGTTTTTCCTATCATATAGCAGTTCTCATACACGCGCGAACGTTTCTTCAACGATACCTATTACCATGGATTATACATAATGAACGTTATTACGTTAGTCCCCACGGTCGTTAAATTATACACTATTTTACTGCTAAATATTAACTTACCTATCCTAACAACAAAGCCAATTTTCATTCCATATTATTTAACGATCAAATGATAAGATAGGAATTTGAAGCAAATTTAAGTTCAATATCACGGATATAATTTTATGTACAATTTCCTGTATTATTTATTTATTTATTTATTTATTTTTTTTTTTTTTGTAAATGTTCGTATTTTTAAACCAAATACAGTTATTTATTAAAAATATACAATTTTATAGACGTAATGAAGTTAATCATATTGAAAAAATCGATGAATTTAATAAAGGTATGTCTCAAAAGTTAATCAATTTACAATAAAACTATACAAAAAATATGTGCAGGCATATTAATTTTTTTAAAAAAAAAAAAAAAATATATACCTAAGTAAATATATCATGGAATAAATTATCTTTATTAATATGCATAGCCATAAAATAACGTTAAAACTGGATAACTCTTGATAGCCGCAGGCATTATTTAAAAAAAATTAGATTACATAGTCTTGAAAATTGCAATACATGACCCGGACCTTGAATCTTAGCAGAAAAAAATCCTGTTCAAATATTACACAACCCGCATCGAAGCTTTATTACAAATACACTAAAGTAGAAATCGCAACGAGGAGTATTGTTTTAGACGACGCCCATCAATAGCCTTGATCTTCAACAATCATAAAATTATTTCTTTCATTTAAACACACACACACACACATTAATAATTCTGTATACCTGTGTATTCTGTATTTACAGAAGTAATACTAATAATTATCAATGCTAATTATGATATCATATAGGTGTACAAATGGTCTATACCAAGACCATCATTTTCATCATCAGGACAAGAAGATTCCAGTGACAAATCACAGCCAGACTCATCTACATCGCCTAATCAATTGAGCATTAAGGTAAACTATCCGCAAATGATGCGACTGCGATATTTGTAGAAATGTCATGTTATTATTCAAATTATATACTTTAATAAGTAAAATAGTATTGAATAAAGAAACAATAGCTTCACATAGTTTATTATAAAACATATGTTTTCATCACAGGAAAACGCAAAAATCAAAATATAATTTTACCGATATTTTAATTACATTTTAATACTAAAAAATTTAAAATGCCATCTAATAATATTATGACAATACAGAAAATATTTATTCGAAAATAAGATACATTATAACGATAAACACGAAAATATAAGTACTATACTGTATTAAGTAGCACAAAAAAAACAAAGACTAGTCTATAGGTAATACCTTCGATAGTATTCGAATACTGATTCAACAGCTTTTTAAAAATATTTTGTTCATTATAAAATGTATAGAATGTTTATGTAGAAAGTGTATAAAATACTTTCTTAAAAAAAAAGTTAAAGTTTATAAAGATCTTTATAAGTACTTAATACTAATAAACTATTACTTAATGTATCATCAATTACAGAAAAATATACTATATTATCTTATATATATGTACTTAATTCAACATTAACTTTGGTTGCAGAGTAAATCATCCACAACTAAGTTACTACTGTGTGCTGAAAATTTAAACGCTCATAACAAATATATTGATCGTGACAATGACTTGGATACTTTATCAGTAGCATCATCTAACCATTTTACAATCGTCAATGGTATGGGAGGACATAAACGAAATAAGTCTATTAAACCTATCCAATGTTGCTGTGAACGGCATCAGCTTACAGTATTAGTCATTTCTATGACAATAGTTCTCTTCCTAACCATTGTTTACTGCGTTTACTACGTACACAGTAAGTAAGATTAAATTATGTTGGTAAAAATAGTATCTGACTATACTCACTTAACCAAGCACTCATCTCACTTTAATTATTTAACCACATAATAAGAGTGTAATATTTATTTATTTTTAACACTGTTTAAATAATTATTAAGATCTACAAGTATTTTTAGATTATGTTGATGAGTCAAAACGAACAATTGGTTTGTTTATTTGTTAGTTCTTCACAATCTTTTTCCTAATTATTTAAATTTTTTATAATTAATATATCTAGGAAATATAATACAAAAATAGACTTTATACTTAAAAATGGATAAAGAATAGGATAAAACATTAAGAAAAGATTATAGTCATCTATTAAGAGGTACATTTTCAATCAAAATAGGTTTTTTTTTTAATCAACTAAAAAAATCAAAGAACAATTTAAATCACTGATTATATAAAAATATCCAAACAAAAATTCAAAAAGATTTTTTGTTTAATAACTTAAATTAAATCCTAGTAACTTAAACATTACTTACTTATTTCTTTAATTTGGAAATTTTACTCCAAAAAAGTACACAAATTGAAATTCATTAAAATGTAACTGTTTAATAGTTAATACTGGTTAATGTCAACATTTAAATCCCGTTATAAAAAGATAAACAAATAATAGCCAATAATGTGTTTATTTTGTATGAATAAGATCTGACAGTTTTAAATATTGTTTTGACGAATCCATAAAAAAAGATAAATTATAAATTTAATAAAAGTTAGGCGGGTATAGGTTTAAAATGAAATACTTATTTAAATTAAATGGACATAGATACACCCAAAATATCAATAAATAATAAATAAGTAACAACTAAAAATAATTCCTTTACTAAACTAAATAGAATATTATGTAATTTTAGGTTAGTGATTTAATGTAATATTACACTTTAATTTTTTTTAAATATTTAATAAACTCAATTGAAAAATAATATGTAAAAATAAAGAGTCCCAGTGCTTAATTTTAAAAGCATATCATTGTAAAAACTATTTAATTGTATTATTTTCTTAAATAAAACCATATGAATATTTTTTTAAGATAAATGTGTATAAAATGTGTCTATTGTATAAGTATTAATAATAATTAATTTTGTTTTAGGACGTGCAATCGAGTGTACAAATAACTATGCTTAATACCAGTCAAACAAGTGTTTAAGTACAAGATTCTAAATAATTATTGACTACCCAAATGGATAGTAAATTGTATTATTACAAGTCATAAACAATTTATGTTATGTATTATATAATTATAAGTAAATTATAACTTTATACTCAATAATAATAAAGTATATTTATTTAAATTATTAAATTCAATAAATTGTTGAATATTTTAATATTTTCACATTTTTATTATAACACGTTCACAGCCACTTATTGCTATAGCAATAATTTACAAAACAAATAAAACCAGGTATGACTACTCTTTTAATAATATTTTAAATGGTATTGAATTAATTAGAAATGTGACTGCCCTCAGAGTTAGGCATTAGTCGAATAAAATATTATTCAATTGATTATTTGAATAAAAAATTATTCTTCATTGATTTATTCTTAATTTTACTATTGATTTTTATTTTTATTCATTATTTTAATTTGTATTATTATTTGTTATTTATTATTCCCTATAACCATATAAATAATAAATTTAAATCCTAAATAACAATGTTTAGTAATAATAGACTTATTATTTAGACTTAAATAATATATATAAAGATAATACATATTAATATATATATAATTATTGATAAAAATAAATTAAATATACTTTTATATTTAATATCATTATTTAATTAATATCATTCATGATTTTAACGAATAAATTTATTCTGAATAATTGTTTTATAAACGAATAACACTATTCAGAATAATTTTATTCTTTATTCAGTACACCACAATAATTCAGAATAAAAAATTATTCTTTATTCATAAATAAATTAGTTATTCATGATTTTATTTTTTATTCATTATTTTGATTTGTTTTTGCTCAACTCTGCTATCCTGTTATGTTCATATTCATACAATTATATTTTTATATTTCTCTTTGGTATTTTCATTAATTTTATATATGTTATATTTTATCAATTTAAACATTGTTTTGCAAAGAATATATTTATTCTATTTTTCAACTATTAATCATGTTTTTCATATTAATTTAAATAGGACACAATTAATTCAAATTGTTGAGATTAATATATTTCAATCATGAATTTTATTATTTTGTGATAAAAATTAATTGCAAAAACTTAATGAAAAAAATTACTTAAAATCATTTAATCAATTGAAGTTTAAGATATTCATATAAAAAAATGACAAAAATTAAAGGGTTACGGAGATAACTAATAATAGTAAAAACAAAAATATATTTGATAGTTATATAATCTTGCCACTTGTTTTAAAAAGTAAACTAACTTTTTTTTTATTAGCTTTATCAAAAATTAATTGTATTACCACAGTAAACTGTTTTGAATTATTTCGTAACTAACCTCTTAATTTTTTGAGTTCTAAAAGTTTAAAACTGCAGTACTAAACAGTTTAGGCATATTAACTATTATCGTTTTTCCACACAACCTTGCAGTTACGTTCTAATATTATAATAAATATTTTTTAATATTGGTTGTCACAAATTTAGCAGCAGAAAATATTATTTTATAATTTATGTTAGCGATAGCTAGAATAATCTTGTACTTGTTAAAAACTATTAAAACGAAAAATTATTACTTAAGTTATAATCTAAAAATAGATTATTTTCATGCAATTAAAATTACTGAATTCAATCGATTAGATATAAAATAAGAACTATCAACCATAGTAAGAAGCTTATTTCTATCAAAATCAAAATTAAACAGTAAACTTACCTCAACATCAGACAATGTTTGAGTCCATCTATAATTAGGTAAATCACAACCATTGCCTGCATTTGGTTTCAATTTACCAGTTTCTTTCGGATCATCATCATCTTCTTCAATTGGTTGAGATACTTCATTTGTTGTTTCTCCAGATAATAATGGATCAACATCTTTTACATTTTTTTTCTAAAACAAATAATTAGCATAGTATGAATATATTAGGAACATAAAGTATTAATATTTAATATGCCAATGGTATCATTGTGTAATGGACATTAAGTGAGTGTTGTGCTCACTATATTGTTTTTCACTATTACTTATTATATAATAAACTTTTAACATAGAACATTGAAACCAGCAATAAATTGTTTTTATTTTATTTTTTTAAAAAAAATTATTTTGCCATTTTTTTATATTAAAAATATTTTAAACAAAAATTAAAATCTATATAATAAAAATACTTTTTCATAAAATATATTTCAAATATTTTTTTTAACGTTCCATTTTTTTGTTTTACATCTTTTTTAAAAATAGAATAACATTTATATATATCAATGCTATTAAGTAAACACAATAATCATTTTATGGATACTGATGACATTACACATCAATAAGTTATCAAGTATTATTTATAAAATTATTATAATCACTTAAGTACATTTTGTAATATGTCCCTTGAAGATATAAAATAGCATTAGAAAAAACAAATAATATTTAATCAAATTGTTGTCTAAGTAATCGCACAAGGTGAACATCAATAATATCACTGACGGGTTAATACATAAATGTACTAGTTCTTATATAGAACAATTTAAATAATACACAAAATATATTTTGTTTTATTATTTTTAGATAATTAACTTAACTCCAGTATTAAGTACTGTATTCAAGTATTAAGTACAGTAGTACTGGATTCAACTTTTAACAAATAGTAATGTTACACCCCATATTAAAAAATAACAATATAATTAAAACTTTAAACATTACTAATTTTTCTTTTAACAACAAGTTATGTTTAAAATTACTATTCATAGAATAATAAAACAAATAATTCAGAATAAAATCAAGAATAATAATATATTGTCCAATATTTGGGTAAAATTATTGAAAGCAAAAAATAATTCATATTCAAGTTTTATAATTTATAATATTTATTACCATATCCAACTCTTTTTGAAGTTGATCAGCTTCTTCGTCAGTCAATTCTTTAAGTTTAGGTTTAGTCTCTAATTCTTTCTCCTCTTTTGACTTTTGTAATCTTTTTAATGCTTCTTGTTTACGTTTCTCATCTTCAGCACGTTTTTGTTTTAGAGCGATATCACGATGTTTATTAAATACCGATAATAACATCTAAAAAGTATGCACTTGTTATTTTCAAATAAATTATTATTTTTACTATTCCTTACTCGTTCTGAAGCTTTTTCATCAGGACTTCCAATAAAGTAATCTGTTTTTCGACCAAGAAAACTAAAAAATGTATCTAAAAGCTGAAACAAAATAAAAAAATTATCAATGCGTATAAAAAACAACTTTTTAGAAAAATATATAATAATAACCATTGAAAATATAAACTATTTAAATCCATATAATATCAAATCTAATTTTGATTTTAAACAAATCTCTTGAATCATTTATAATAAAGAATTATGTTACACATAGTTTTTTTTTTTTTAATCATCACGAGTAAAAATATAATTTAAAGGTGGCTGGCAGTGCCGGATTACCCATTAGGCGAAGTAGGCACCCGCCTTAGGGTCTCACTTATTTAAGGGGCCCTGTGAAAACGGAAAACTTAATTTTTATTTTATTTAATAATACCTTTAGTATTTTATTTACGAATTTACGGGACAAAAGTTATTTTGAAACACAATATATATTAAATTGTAGGTGTTATATGTAATAATAATAATACAATTATTTTAAAAAAAATAGAAATCTTATAATAATTAATTCATTTTTTCTTGCAAATAAAAAAATGTAATAAACACGATTTCATTTATTAATAATAGTCGGTTATTATTAAAGCTGTTTATTTTAATTATTGGATAGTAATGTACGTAAAAAATAATTTTGTAGAGTCCAATTGCCTAGGGGCCCACAAATGTTTAATCCGGCACTGATGGCTGAATCATAAAAAGTAAGTTGTACAAAGTATGACTTGATGTATTAACTTTAAAATATAGATCCATATATTACATAAATATTGGGATAGTAAAATATCAAATATCTTTAAAGTATTTATAAATTTGAACTCAAACTATGCATTATTTTTTTTTATCATTTTTCATTTTATTCGAAATAAAAATAATCTATACACAACAATTTAAATAAACTTATTTTGATATCATGAACAAAAGCATAAAATAATATCAGTGCCATAACTAAATACTAGAGGCCCCTAGGCTTGCCATACACGATTCGGTTTGCTAGAGAAATCTGACTGCACAGTTTTTCCGGAACGTGTATGTGACTAGTTTGCGCAGTTTTCCGGGGACTGTATAAGCGATCGGAAAGAATCGAAGAACGATTCTTTTCACCTGTGCAGTCATGACTGTACGGCATATCGGAGAGTATGTGCCCGTATGTTCACGTTAAAATTCAACCAGCTTATTCGTTATCGCGGCTGCATCGTGCACATATATTTATTTTACATTATACCAATGGTTCCCAAATTGTGAGGTATACTTATTGGGGAAGCGTAATGCAAATATTTATACTATATATTAGAATATCGTGGTATTTATGCTGTATTTATACAGCGTTTCCCAAATAGTGGGTGGCGACCCAATACTGGGCCACAAAAATATAATACAGAGTCGCAGAATTAATAAAATTATAATATTAAATTTTATAATTTATCATTTCGTTTGATAATTTGAAATTTTTAATAAAAGTAAATCCATTAATACAAATAACTATTATTTAAAACATAAATAATAATTATCGAGATTATCAACTAGATTTATAAAAAACTAGTATGACATTCGCAGTATTGATAAATACAATGTAATAGTAACAAATGCATGCGACTAGTCGTTGGTTGTTGCAACACTAATTCATTATCTACAAATTAATTGTTTTCAAATTTATTTTGGTTCTTTTTCTTAAACGATATACTGATATAGCAAGTAATTTAGAATATTTTTTACAACTATCTATTATTCATTAAAATTGTATGAAATATCTAACTATAGAGCAGTCAATCACGCGGTCGTTGTTAGTGGTCGTTGCGGCCGGCCGCAACGACTGTATGGCTTGGGAACCATACCTTTATGTGCACGTACGCGTTTTCGTATAGCAGCGATTTTAAAAACGTGGAATTGCTATAACTAGACGATGTAAAGTACAAGTTTTAATATTGGTTCTATTAAACGGTCGTCCAATGCGTGGAGTACACTTAGAGTACTCTTACGAAAAAAAAGTAGTCTTTGAACCGATAGTATTCTAAAAATTACATTTAATTTGGCTTTATAAAGCCCATACATTTTTTCATTAACAGGAGAGAATTAAAAACTATCAAAAAAATATATCTTCAATGTTTTCACTGAGCCCTCAGACTGAAAATCTTGTATAGGCTTTTTATGAAATATCAAAATTAATTGCTGAAACAGGTTATCCTTACATAATTGGTAAAAAATTAATATTTTCGACAATGAAAACAATGGCATCTCGAATAGGCGAAAAAAAAACTGGAAAACCAAGTAAATTTGTTAAATAATTATATAATTATACATTTACAATGTGTAAAATTTAAATCACTATATATTTTCATATTATTGTGCATCGATAACAGTTATATTTTATAATGATAATGGAGAGACCTCTTTCCATTTAATCTAATATTGAGAGGTACAAAGTTTGATTTGCACAACTAAAAAATTGCCAAAACTCTTAATTAAGGGGGAGGGGAAATTAATTTTTGAAAATTTACCAAGGGACATTGGATGAAAAAGGTTGGGAACCACTGTTGTAGGGGGTTTGTGGAGGACTTTGCTCCTCACTGATCCCCTTGAGTGGATAATTCACTCCCAAGTTTTATACTGAATGAGCGCCTATGCTCTGCACACCTAGTTCTTACGGTACTACATAAATTAATCATGTGATAAAAGATGTTATCCATTGATAATATCCAACTTAAACTATGAATTTACAAAATTAACAAAATTAAGTTTTCTATTTAATACAATATACCTCACAAACATAATTCAATTACATTAAGATAATATTAGTTTAAATGGTATTGATTTCAAACTTAAAAAAAATTCTTTAGTCAATATTTAAAAAAAATCTCTTCTACAAATATTAAATTTACAACCTAAGGCAGTGGTTCTCAACCGAGGTGTCATGAACAGTGTAAGGGTGACACGAAATCTCCACGGGAAAGGAAAAAATAAAAAAAATAATTAATTTTAGTAAAATTATATTATTACCACAACTGTCATTTAAATAGTTTTTTGTTTCAAATAATACTTTTAAGACAAAATGTTAAGATAAAATACTGTTGGATTACTGGATGATTGAGAGTCTACTGTATTAGGTACTTTTTAGATTTTTTTTCTAGTTTGAAAATAGAAAAAGTAATAAACATAAATATAACTACAATACCTATGCATCATTATAGCGAATATTTAATTAAATGATATTCTATTACATTAAAAATTAAATAATTTTGTGCATAAACATAAACATAGAGGTAAAAAGAAACACTTATTAGAGGATAAATTAACTTTAGTAGAACAATAAATAAAAATATTTTCTCCAAATAAACTTTAAATATGCAGTTATATACATAGTTTAATTTATTTTTAAAAATATTTATTGATCTCAATAAGATTGAATTAACTCAACTTTAACTAAAATTTAATTTAATTTATTTAATTTTTTTTTTTTTTTAACTAGTTAATAGTCTCATTGACATGTCCACCTTTGCTTGTTACTATAGTAACAAAATATTACAACAATATTAAAAAAAAAATACTTTAATGATTTAACTAAATATTCATAAAAAAATGAACTAACAACTCTTTTACGTCTCTGGTAACAGACCAATTATTTAAAGGGTGCCTAAAACATTCAATAAATTAATACTAAATCAATACTTGTATAGTGAAATGTATAAATATTATTACCCAATACAAATACGTAAATACCTATCTACCTGCAATAGGAAAGTACAAACTTAGATATTAAGTTTATTTTACACTTTTTTCTACAGTTCATTAATTCTAAGTTACTTGTTCGACGCCTTTCTCGTGCTGCTGAGCCAATGCCAGTAGCATTGCATCAAATTTCTCTTCGTTAGCATTTGACATAATGAATAGGAATGAAATAAAAATAAAAAGCCAAAAACAATATTAAAAAATTAGCAGAAATTAGAAATATTCACAAATAAAACAATGAAAAAAGTGTACAGTGTTTGAAATATTTCGCTGTTGAACACCAATATAACCGTGTATCACAAAGCGGAACGTTAAACAGGAAACGTGCAGGGCTGTGGTTACGGGAAAAAAATGGTAATCATATTATCACGTTATCAACGTCGAGATATTGTTTGATCGAAACGGCGGAATGCAAGGAGGTCGTAAGTAACTAGTTATGGCGGGGAACATCACTGGAACGAAACGCGGTTCTAGACAAGACTAATAAAACGTAATTGATAGTCACTAAAACAGTTAACAATATGCAAAAAATAAAAAAATTCCATGTCAATATTGAATACACGAGTTGTTATATGTTAGTGAGGACCTCCTCATAAAGGTATTTTTGTATTGCCAAAGAAATATTTGAAATTTTTAAGTTTTTATGGTACCTAAACTACTCGCGTAGGCAAGAAAGGAAAAAAAGTTATTAAACTCTTTAATAAAATTTACCAATGTCATTATTTAGTATGATTTTTTAATTGTACACAACACTTTGAAATTGTTTAAAGTTAATATTTTTCATTAATTGAGGGTGGAAAGGAAAAGTCTGAGATTGTAAAGAGTAATAATAAGCGGGGGAGGGGGAGGGAATAAAATAATTTCTTCCCGGGATGCATGTATTCTGAATGCGCCACTGGTTCATGGCCACTCATAGCAACATAAATATTTATTAATAATCTCTAACATATACTTGTATTTATTTAATGCATAAATACAGCCGGGTATCCATTTGTTCCGCTGGCGTAACTTATAAGACGTAGACAATCTGAACAGTACGAGATCACAGTGACCATAATCATGTTTTGAGGTTTCTGAGCCACGACCAAGTTTGACAGATCTATTCAGATCATGTGAGATAAAATAATAAAACCTTTTTTGTTCCAACGCAGTTCTGTGGCCCGTGTTCATCAGTCGTGAGTAAAATAATGTTATGCAACCGAACCCAGGGTACTTTCAGCTCCTAAATTTCGTAAAATTATTTGTCTCATCCTCGTGTCCCAATATATATTCTGTACTCGGGGACTGGATACACCATTACTTATTTTTTTTTTTATATATAAAAATAATGCTCAGTTTGATCTTTTTTATTTAAATAATTTCTCTCCCATACTTTTCTATTGAAAATATTGTTTTACTTTCCAAAATTACAAATGTCATTCAACATATAATCATCAAAACAATGTATAATTTGAGGTAATAGTTTGAAATTTTAAAACAATGAAGTTATTTCGTTTATTTTGGATATCTATTTATTCATGGTTTTTATAATATTGATTTAATTAAAATATGACATTTCAAAATATAATAAAAGATGAGTTTAACTACACCAACCAAATATGTACAAATAAAAACAAAAATATACAAATATTTTGTTTCATAACAGTAATTAATTACTGGAATAATCAAAATGCAAACTCCTGGTTTTGTCAGTTATTTTACAATATATCAAAATAACTAACTAAAGTAGAGATTGACATCACATACATTAATTATATGAAGATTAATAAATGATGGCTTTACTTATCATTTTAGGAGTAATTAAAATAACGCAACTAAAGGAATTAGGAGATATTTTAACTTTATTTTTACAAAGATTAATAATTGTTTCAAAACTTGTATGACACTTGGAAGAATTTGATTTAATATAATAAAAGCTATTTTATACTATTATGATTAATGCAAAACTTTAATTTTACATAAAAAAATGTAAATATAAATAAACAAAATTATTTTCCAACTAATTGTCCATTTGAAATAACTCAATGTATAACACAAAAAAAAATGATTTAATATTATTTCTTATCAATATATATTTTGAAAATGTTTACATCAATATATTGTTTAAACTTATTACATTACAAATACTATTAAAAATTAACAAGTTTAATATAAAATGAAGTTTCTCATACATTAAAAATATAAATTTTAGATCAGACATACAGCAATAAGGTATAAATACAAATACAATTAAATATTCATGAGATTAATTAAAAAAAATTAAAGAAATAATTTAAGTGCTACATCATTTTTATTGTATTAAAATTAAAAATAAGGAAAGCATTGGAACATATATCACAAAAAGTTAACTCAAAGTTTAATAGTAATTCAAGCTCATTTTAAAACATCATAGAATTTTAAAATGAAACTATTCAACCAACTACAATTCCTGTATTAAGGATCAACATATTTAACTCGTCAATATTTAAAATGAATTTAAAGTCAACAATTTGATAATTATGTCAAAATCATATCATTATAGCATAGAACTTAATTAAATACATACTAAAACTGACATGAAACATCCTCAGTCAATCATTAATCATAATGTAAAACTTAAAAATATTATTTAAAACTAGTATTATATATATATATATATAAAAGAAATAAAAAAATATACAGTTTTAGAATATACATTTTTATCCTTGTTGTGGTTGAATAATGTTAAACCAATGTTTTTGGTCTTCTCCGTCGTCATCTTGAATTTGAATCTGTACTATTTGTACATTTTCTCCATTTATAGTTGCATGTTCTGCAAATGCAGCTGCATCACTTTCATTTAATGTTATATGACGAGTAGCTGGTACAATTAATTGTCGGTGTTCTTGACCACCAACACTAACAGTCACAGTCTCCATATGTCCAACATCCACGACCTCTGCGTCATCTCCATGGTGATCCATGTTCAACATAGTATGAACATCACCATGCTGGTCAGTAGTAGTGTATTGAATCTTTCATATTAAAAATATAATAATAATTAAAATAGAGTTAAAATATAATAAAATTATTAATTACTTGGTATTTATTATCAACAAGTATTTGCTCGACAGAATTCAAATCATTATCAAGCACTTCTTGCTTGCTTGGCAATAAGATATGCTCTTTCAATTCTCCAGTAAACAATTTTCTTTCTTCTTCAGTCATGTCACGCTAAATTGAAATAAATTATACATATCAATATAAATAAAATAAATCGTCCAATGTGTGTAAGAGAATAAATTGAGAATGGCTTAACCAATTTGACTGATTTTTTTATTTTCATAATGGCCTGGACAAGCTTTGTAAGAAAGAAATCTTTTACAAAGTTTATTGAATAAGTCGAACATTTTACTAAACTACAAATATATAACATGTTTGATGATACAGTATTAGATGGACTTTGAAACCATTTGACCGATTTTGATGAAAATTGTTGCAGAGATAGATTAAATATTGAAGAACATAATCTTTTGTCACAAAAAAAGGAAAGCGTTGGTACAATTAAAAAGACCTGAATAGGCAGCAGAATCCCATCACCACACCTCTGTATGCATTTAGAAATTATGAATATATCTATCTTCTTAAAAATAAGTATTATAAGCAATTATTTTCTCCTCCAAAAACAGTACTCATCTTTTTTTTTTTTTTAGATTTCTGTACAAGAGATCAATTTACAAAGATTTCTCTGTATGTTGAGGTACTGATATATTACATTTGGAACAAAACATGAAGAGAATGAAAACATCAAATTCAAGAAAAGATAGTGGTGAAGTTAGTTTATTCACACTTTGATTATAATCTCAATAACAATAAATTGTAATATCAAAAAGGTATAAAAACATACAAGTATAATTTGCTTACTTTTCATTTTATGATTTTTACTTTATTTTAATGCTGCCAAAAAAAATCTTATCTCCAAAATTAGAGAACTAGAAAGGCACAATGCAAATATGCTGAAAGAAAACTTTAATAAAATCATGGCAAGAAACACGGCTCAAAGAATCAGAACAAGAGAGCCAAGCACAAGTATTTCAAGAATATGTGATGAACATCTGCTACAAATAATATTGAAAACAAAGGTAGATTATGAACAGTACCTAGCCAGACATATTTAGAGTATGAGATTGAAAGAGAATTTGAACTGTGGCTGGTTATTTATTATCCAGTATTCCAAAAGAGCTAAACTTTTTATACATTTATTTAATGAATGACACGGAGAATGAAATAAAGAGGCATTTGTCTGTTGTTTTTAATATCGATAAACAAATATTGTATAATTCACAATGGGATATTTACAAAAAAAATTATAATTTTTTTATTTGCCTATAGTAACTTAACCTGACATAAAGATAAGTATATATTTTCATGGATGAAGCTGGGTAATTCAGCTAGTTACAAATAAATATTAAATATACATTATTATAATAATATAAATATAATATAAATTATACATTTTTTTAAATTTAAATACTAACCAATGCTGTTTGATTTCCATCAGAATCAACAACCATGGCTAATTCCATTTCAGAATCTGTACCAGGCATTTGAATTTCCTCTTGCATTTCCTGTATATTAACTGGACTTGATGCTAACCGTGGTTGATTTACAACAATAGTATCATTCAAATGGCCAGCTTGAGTCATGTGGTTGTAAAGTAACGGTTTACGCATAAATCCGGCACCACATACCAAACATTCATAAGGTTTTTTATCACTGTGTACAAAACGATGAGCATTCCTATTGTCCCTACTATTAAATGCTTTACCACAAACCTTAAAAATAAAAATTTAGTCAATAATATTCAATAATAAAATTAATTTAAACGTAAATTTCTTACTTCACATAAATATGGTTTTTCTCCAGTATGAATACGTGCATGTTTTTTAAAATGTTCTGGATAAATAAATGATGCTTGACAGACTTCACATTTGAATGGTCTTTCACCAGTATGTGCAGCTTTCATATGATAATCTAATAAACGACGTCTCTTAAATCCTTTACCACAATCAGTACATTTATAACGTTTATCATCATAATGAGTTGCTCGCTTATGAGATTGCAAATTGCTTCGTTGACTAAAAATATATAAAATATATTTTAAGTATAATTCTGTTCAAAGTCTTCTTAAATAAACAAACTGTTTACCTAAATGTTGCTCCACAGAATTCACACTGGTATGGTTTTTCTCCCGTATGAATTCTTTCATGATCTCTAATCTCAGCTTTTCTAGCAAATGCTTTACCACACATACGACAAATAAATGGTTTGTAACCGGTATGCACAACATAATGTACTTCCAGATTGCGCGCAGTACCAAAAGCTTTGCCTAAACAGTCATAAATTTGACAAATAATTGTATGTATTATATTAAATTATTAACATTTTCACTGCTACTGTCGCATATACATGACAACAGTCTGTTTCTCGGGTGTGCTACTGTCGCGTATACACTTTTGCTCTATTATAAAATAAGGTGTAATTACTACATTAATGAAATATGCAGTGCTGTATAGGAAAGAAAGTAATAAATCAATTGAAAAAAAAAAATTGTTTCGTTAATTTCAGAGATGTTATGAATGAATTTATATTTTGTCATTTCCAGTGATTACCAAAAAATAAATATGATAAATAACCGTGGCAATGGTAATAATTTTGGTTATTTTTGACGGTTATCTACAAATAAAATTTTTCTTACATCTAAGTAAATTTTTACTGTTTGTATTACGAAAAAAAGGAAATTTATAAATAATAAATATTATACGTATACGGTAATATTTGAACGGTTTATATGGATATGCGTAAGATTTGAGAATCACTAGTTTAGAAAAGTAAAAAATTGAATAACTCGATTAAAAATTAATTATTTTTTTTAAACAATTTTTCTTCAGAATATATGTTAATTAAACTTTTTGTAAGGAGAAATTTAAAATTTATTCAGCACAGCACGCATTAGAGAGAAATTTATTTCAGCAGTGAAAGGGTTAATATAATTCAGTAAAGAATCTACTAAGCTTAAATTGGACAAATTTTAATGTACTACATGAGAAATTGAAAAACAATAAATATTATTGGATGAAAACTAAGACATATTGTTAGAAACAGTAAAAAAAAAAAAAAATTATAGTTAGAGTTTACTCTATGTACCTCAAAATAAAATTTCAATGATATTGGTCTTTTAATACGTTGAAAAAAAAAAAGTGAAAAATATACAAAATGCTTCACATGAATGAATAAAAAATTGAAAAAAAAACCCTCCAAAAATTAAAAAAGTAAATATTTTTCTATATAGTATTATTTATATCTGAATAAAAAATATTTTGTCAAACTAAATTCTTAGTGGTTAAGTATTATTCTTAATTACTTAATATTAAACATTACATTTTATTTTGAAATAATTCTTAAAAACATTTAAATTAAAAAATCTTGTTTTTAAACTTACCACATTTTTGACAAACATAATTTTTAAGTCCGGAATGTGTTCGTTCATGATGAATAAGATTTTGCTCAGTTAGAAAAGCTTTGCCACAATTAATGCAAGTAAAGTTGCGTTCACGATTTGTGTGAACCTTTTCATGTGCTTTAAATGTATACTTAGAAGTAAAATCTTTCCCACAAATGTCACAACGATAAGGACGCACACCAGTATGTGTATTGTTGTGTTCTTCTAAAGTATTACGAGATCTAAAAAAAAAATATATAAATATACTCGTATAAATATATAATCAACATTTTATTTCATAAATAAAATCTAATATGAATTTTACTTACGCAAATTGACGTCCACAAGTTTCACAAGTGTGATTTTTAGATTGAGGCATATGCATTTTCTTATGGACCCTAAACATACGAACATTAGTAAATACTCTACTACATATATCACAAACAAAATTGCCATCTTCACTATTTGCATGATGTTCTAAATGTTTCATTAATTCAGGTCTAAAATAAAATAAAATAAATGTGTTAAAAATTATTTTTTTATTTTTTATATAAGAGATATATTAAATAAATTAAAATATGAACTCATAATACAATTTTAGTAAATAAATTATATCATTTATGATTCAAATAAATTTAACTTTTCATTGACCTTTTTTTGTTGGTTTTGGGAAAATCTTTTAAAGTTCTTAAAAATGTAACAGAGTTTCTTTAAATGTAAAGTTACAGTTTTCACTATTCAATAAATTTCTTTTTGTTTTCGTTATCAGATAAGTGACAAAAAAATTAGTAACATGTACATTAAATATTTTAGAAAAAAAGGTGTTGTTGAATTATCAAGAAAAACACAATTAAACATAATATTTTTAGTTTGCTCAAAAAGGAAAAGTTGGGGATCAAATTGTATGCTCAAAATAACTTTGTCATCATAAACTCATAAAACTATATTACCTTTTAAGAAATTCTTGTCCACATATATCACAAATAAATAATTTAATTTGATGTACATTTTTTGCATGAACAACAATACCTCTTGCATCTGCAGTAAATTTGTTATCAACACTACACAATAGACAAGTGTAAACTTCACCATCATGATGAACCAACTATAAGTATAAGATATATAAAAAAAATTGTAACCCATTTTAAATATTTCTATTTAATTTTACCATTTGGGGTATGAGAATTTCTGGAGCTTTTTTTTTAACAGTATTTTTAGTGACTTTTGGTTTTTTAGGATTGTTAGACTCTTCATCATTTTTTGAATCATCATTTCCTTCATAATCTGAATCATCATCATCATCATCATCGTCATCATCATCGTCATCATCTAGTATTGCACCATCTTCTAAATCATCAGCATTTAGATTTTCAATATTTTCCAAATCTGGGTGCATTGCTTCCTGTTTGATATCAGCAGGCTGAATCATTTTTTGAGAACAATCTTCATCAATGTCAATGACAGCACATCTATCATTCACTTTACTATCATTCTCATCGTTTTCTAACATCTCTATTAAATTCTCTACTGATGAACATTTTTGCTGTTTTTCATTCTCTTTGTTATTGACTTCATCTTTGATAACTTCTGTAAGAGGAACCGGTAATTCAATAGTTTCATCTTTTATCTTGGGACGACGTCCTCGTTTTTTAACTGGTTTTGGGGGATCAGCTTCGTGTTCAATATCCACAGTTTCTATTGTCTGTATATCTACACCTTCAGATTTACTCCTATAAAAACAAACTCAAAGTTATTAAAATAGTCACATAAAATGTTTAATAGTCTAATATTACTTTAGAGTACGTTGATATTGAGTGGTAAGCTCTAATTTAATGTCAGCTAATCGATCTTCGAGTTCATCAACCTCATTAAGAGATTTAAAACACCGACGGCAAACAACAATAGAATGTACATCTTCAGAAGATAGAGTTATACCAAGAACACCATCGATTACTTTCACAACGGTCCGATCTGAAGAAGTTACACGATGCTGAAATATAGAAATAGCATTCCGAGCTGATACACCAGTGCTACCATCACAAATTAAACAAGTGTTGGAAGTTGCTGTTGAAGACCTCTCTTGTTCAGAATCAGTTGCCATGATTTATTTTTACTTTGTTTTACTGCAAAATAAAAATAAAATAATTCATTATAACGAACAAAATATTAAATTAATAATAAAATCAATCGTAGGTATTCAACCATCTTTTTTTATGATCTTTCTCTTCAAGATTCATTTTCATAACCACCCTTACTATTTTTTTTTTTATTACATATATTTTATTTATTTCTTCTGACTAACACAAATAATATTATCTTTAAATTTTTAAAAATTACCATTACTTATTTTATTTACGAAACTGAAGTTTTCCTTTAAAGTAAATATCTTTCTACAATAAATGCTAATAGTGCTACTACATTACTAGTAGAGCTAGAATTTGAATGACCTAAAAAACCTCAAAAAATATCTTTAAAAGAATTCAAAATGACTAGAAAAATTAAAAAATTGCTTTTTAATTAAATTAATTCACATTTCACTAAAACTTGTACTAAACTATATCATTGGACTTCAATTTTACTGATTTTAATTAGTTGATAAGTAATTCTAAATTCATCAAGTAAAGTACCATAGTACATAAGTACCATAAAACAAGTGCTAATAGATTCAAAAAATAAATATGCTGAAATATTCTAATTAATTCCTCAATACTGCTGTAGTAGCTATTATATTGATATTTACTTAGGATATATGTTAAACTTGAAAAACTATATTACATATGTCATATTATTCAACAGTAGAAAAAATATAGGTAATTAAATTTATTAATTTTAAATAAATGTGAATTATAGAACAAATATGAAAAAACAATAACGATGAACATATTGTACACCCAATGGTAGCAATTACATAAAAAACATGAGCCTTACCATACAGTTTGTGTTTTTAAATGTCGCAATTGAAGTCTAACCGGACCAATCAGGAGTCTACTGCACTCCTAATCCTTAACCCGAGAATTAAAAACGAGCTTCGACAATGGTTCAAGAACGCATGGGACAATCTTAACACCCAATACGGTGAAGTTAACAATCGGCATTGGAGTGCCGACTGTTCGAACAAAGTTTACATAGGTTTCAAAACGAAAAGACCAGATACTTTAAACAGCTTCACCGTTTTTACGAGATAAAACACGGACCGCGTACGCCCATGCACACAAACCGGTGAACGAAAACTACGATGGCACCAGTCCCACAAAAATACTAATCACGGTTCTAACGGATACGATATCTTCTACGGGAGGCCCTGCGAGACGAGAGCTTTTTTAGACAAAAGATAGTACACCGGTTGTGGCGTCTCTGGGGGAGGGGGAGGAAACGGTAACCACCAGGCGGTCGACCAGGCAGTATCCCCTGCAAATCCTCTTCCAGGGACGAAGACTGCATTTTGTCGGAATCGCCGTCGGTAGCCGAAAAATTTCTGTTCGTGCGACAAGGTGAACCAACGGCGGCGGCCGCCTCCTCGGACGAGACAGCGTTCGTGGGCAGCGTCTCGGTTAGAACAGCGGACAAACAACACTCGCGCAATGTTTGCCGTTCCAAGGCACTGTTTACGAATCGTGGTGAAATGTTGAACGGTTGAAAGACGACGGTCACGGGATAACGGCGACTGTGTCGAGCGACCACGAACGTCTGAACACAGCGAACTTCGGCGAGACAAACGTAGAAACATAATAAAGCCGGCGGTGGTCGAGACACGGACGAATAAAAAAAACGTTCGTCCGAGTCTACTGAAAAATGGACAACCTGTATACTCGGAACCAAAGTTGCCAATATGAAAAAATATTCCCGAACAGCATTGTCGCCCCAGTGTTGGCCGACGGCCGTGCGGTCCCCATACCAACCAAAACAAAAAAAAATAGGTTTCGAACCGACAACGGGACATATCCCAACGGTCGTGTACTCACCCGGTGCGAGCGTTACGTCTTCGCTGTTCTGCTTCAAACGGTCTGAATGGCGTACAGCTCGTGGGACGTAAATTGTACCGACAACGGCTACGAAATTATATCCGCGCGGCAGTCGGCCATTTTTAGTTCGATTTTATGTGGCAGGCGGCGTACTGGTAGCAGTGAAGCGCGCTGGTCCGGCGCCTGTGCGTGCGCGACACACGATGGTGGTGAGGTGCGGCGGTTGCAAACGGACGGCGATGGCGACGGCTGCGATGACTACGACGAACATCAACAACAACAATAACGACGGCGACGACATGTGATAACGCACGATCCGGGGTGATAGAGTGTCCGCGCGGTTACCACCGGGCGCGTTTACTCTTCCATGAAATGCGAGGAAATTTGTTTGCACGTTCGTAATACTCGCCGCCTGAGCCTCGACTTCCGTGTCGATACGTTCGAATCCAGTGTCCACCAGCCAGACTCATCTAAATGCCGGCCCGAGTCAATGCGCGCCCGGGCCCGATCGCGAAGCCGCCATCCCAACACATCATTAAGGTACGTAGACATCGGCTGTACGTAGCTCACTTCGCGCCTAGCCATCAACCTAATCGCGTGTCTTTCAAATTCGAATGCTGTGTCAGCCCGTCCGCGAGTACCCACGGTTGCTGCTATCCATCCACGAGATGCCGACACTACTACCGTCCAGCCCGCCTAACCGCTTCGCCCCGTAAACGTCTCCCCAATCCAGGCACCCCCTACGGGCTTCAGTCCATAGACAACATCCTTCACGTCATGAGTCGTCGGTATACGTATGCATTCTCCCACGTTTGCGAACGGAACTTGACTCTCCCACGGTTTCATGTAACTCGTTTTCAAAGTTTTGCTCTGCATTCTGTCACTAAGTTAAAATATATCGCTCAAACTTCAACAATACCAATATCATTCCCTCTCTTTGATCAAGTTAACTCATTTCTCAATAACTGATGACTGGAAAAGATTTCTTTGACTATCATTATATTCTGATATATAATAATCCTAATCTTTATTGAAATAATAGTCATTCATTTTATCATATTATAACTATCGAGCATCATAAGTTAACTCTTGATTGTACGTAATTTTTATAATATGTTACACTCTATAATTTACATTTTAAATAATACAATTACCTATATTATATTCATAGTATTATTGACTGTTATTTTAACTACTAGTTTTTCATAACCATATTAAGTTTAACATTTTATAAAATATATACAGATATATTCTCTTTCATGAGTATCTTCATTTATTTTTTAATTTTTTCATTCAACTTGTGTAAGTGTATTCTATAGAAAGATTGATAAATGAATGATAAAAGTTAGAAAGAATTTTATTGGAAACTTCAAATTATATATATAGTGAGAAAATATACAATGAGCATGGATTAATAAAAAAAAAATAATGGATGGTCAAAAAGATCAAAAATAGTAACCGAAAGTTTTAAAGTATTTTTAATATTAATTATACTCTTCTAAAGTTATTTTGGTGTTCATTGACTATAGCTAATAATATGGTATGTATAACATCATGTTTTGATTCTTCCTATTATATGTTGTCATACAATCATAATTAATGGTATTAGTTCTGACTACTAATTTATGGATGTGACTACCATTTATAGCCAACCTAAAAAAAAAAATCTTATGATACATAGAAATAAGATTTAATACCTGTCATGTTTTTTGATTCAACATCTTTACAAATAACCTTAAATACTAATTTAACATTGATTTTTATCATAATGTATTACTCAATAATATTCTATTATTTTTTTTTTCAGATTTTATATCGAATGAATTTGACATTATGTCAAATACTGTGAAGTATACGGTTAAAGAATCTCGTGGCAATAAAACTTTTAACTTTCCAAATTTTACTAACTGTCAGAATGCTATAAATGGTACACTTGGAAAGTCTACTGTGAAAAATCTTATTGAAAAACGAAAACTTAAATCAACAAAAAATATTATTAAAATGGCCGATTTTAATAACACTGAAATTATTACGGTTTCTCCAGAGTTCTTAGATGACAGTTCTTTAGAATATATGATAAAAGATGAACCAATGTCAGATTCTAGTTATGATGATTTAGAAGTGCTTGATGAATACCAAGATAATCCTGAAGTTATTGTTGTTTGTGGTAATGATATGGATAAATCAAGTGATAGTGATTTAGAATACATAGAAGATATTAAACATGAAGAACATGGTAAAGTTAAATTACATAATGATATCAACTCTTCTGATGTTGTTGTACGGACAGATATTTTGAATGATTTATTAGAAGGGCGCATGACCAAAACTACTAAAAAACTCCTTGAATCCACCAAGATTTCCTATTTACCTATGCAACTAACTCAGAACGAATTTCGTTCTACGTATTCCATAGACAAAAGTCCATTTAAAGTCAGACCTATTAAAGCTAATAAAGGTTTAAGACATTTCTCCAAAAGGGTATGTGATAAAGTTAAAACTAAAATGGTTACTACCTATAAAGAAGTAGCTGATGAACTAGTTGCAGAATGTGTTGGTAACAATGATAGCCCAACATTTTTGTATGATCAAAAAAATATTAGACGTCGTGTATATGATGCCTTGAATGTATTGATGGCTCTTGACATAATTGCCAAGAACAAAAAAGATATAACTTGGAAAGGTTTACCAACTGGGTCTATACAAAATAGTGTTTATCTTGTCCAAGAAAAAGAAAACCGTCTCAACAGTGTGAAAAGAAAACTTTTAGCTCTACAAGAAATTATTATGCAAGAGGTAGCTATTAAACGTTTAGTAAAACGCAATCAAGATATGGAAACTGAATTTGGCCCTCCACCTAAAAATACGTTTGTCAATCTTCCTTTTATGGCTATCAGCTCAAATGAAGATACAGCTGTTGAAGTTGAAATATCAGAAGACCAAAAACAATATGGGTTGAATTTTAATGATAAATTCAGTGTAGTTGACGACACTGAGTTATTGAAATCCATGGGTTTTACTTTAGGATTGGATCGTGGTGAAGTAAATAATGAAGATTTAAAGATTTTGAAAACATTAGTACCCAAAGCTTTTGAGAAACATATTGTTATGATGGCTACTAAAAATGGAGAAATGTTTAATGATATATGCAAAGAATTTGATGAAAAAATGAAGTCAGCTGAAATTGAACAAACATCATCTAGACCTAATATTATCAATAGAAGAAGAAATAAAAGATAGTTAAAGTATATTTATTTCTACTATTTTGTCATCATGAGTCATGACAATCATCAAAATTATTATGTTGTAAGAATTTGTATACCTTTTTGTAAATAACTTAGGATGTTAATTAATTTTAATTTGTACAGATAATATTTTATCTTTTAAATGACAAGAATCGTCATCTTAACTTATTTTTATCAAAATTGATAAATTTGTTCAATATTGTATTTTTATGAACAACCAATCCTTAGTAATATTTGCTAATTATGTATACAAAGAATAAATTACATTGCACTCATTTTATAGTACAATTATCTAATTTTTAAATTTGGAAAATTTATTTTTTATACATGACTCAATAATTAACATAAACATAAAAGAAAAATAACTTAAAACTAAATTTTGAAATTCTTTTTGAATGTTTAAATATTAATGGTAAAGTTTATTTAAAGTTTAAACAGAACAAGTTGATCATTACATTTACATCAATATTTTTGTTTAAAATTACTGGATTGACAATAATTTTATTTAAACAAAAGTATTCACAATTATAATTTTATAATAACTAACAATGAACAAATCAATAATAAAAGTACTAACTAAAAGTAATGCCTTTTTCTTCTTTGATTTGTCTCTGTATATCTAATGCTTTCTCTTTAAATTTTTGAGCAAGTTCCAAATCTATGGGTACACCATCTCCTTTTTTATACACAATTGATGCGTTAACACAACCTTTTAATTCATTTTGATTGCAAGCTTTTATTGAATATTCTAAAAATTTTTGCTTATTTGGTTCTAAGCCAATATCTTTAATACCAGTAAAATGAATATTACTAGCTACATAACATGCTTCTGAATGCCGGTTATTGCAAGCTTTTTCCAAATATTGTAGGCTCTAGAATATTCCACAAGTTATTTAATTTATAAAAAAGATTATTAATGTATGCATTAAAAATATTTGCCTCAAGTAAACTTTTTGTTCTCTCGTCAACATCAGTTATCGAATCACTATGATAATGTAATTTCATTCCAGCAGCAAAACACCCATCAGACCAATGATATTCACAACCTTTTTTAAAATATTTAATCATCTATGAAAAATAAATCAAATTTTTGTATTTTTTTCGATCAATGAAATTATTAATGAGCGAGTAATATGCAAATCAACATAACATATTTTAATTGTGATACAGTAAAAATTAAATTTTATATACCTCTGGCATTACAGGTTTGAGATTTTTCAAATTTTTTTGTTCCAAATAGGCAGCGTACTTATAGCAACTACGTCCAAAATTTCGTTCGTCACAGTTATCTTTAAATATCCTGGCCGCTTTATCTCGATTGTTTTCAATGGTTTCTAAATAATCACCGAGTAACTGACATACTATGGGGAAAAAAATCAAATAGTTAATTTCATATTGCAAATATAGATTCCCAACATTTACTTTGAGGATCGTTTTCGCTGAAACATCCAAATCTATATTCAATTCCTAAATTCTTTATGTATTCCTTAACATCTTCTTCCTTCTTAAAGTCGTAAGACATTTTGTAACAGAGTCAATCTGGAGAAAAATTGATAATTTTCTTAATATTTAAATTTTAAATAAATAATTTTTTCGTTTTTAACATTGTTGATAATAGAAGAATATAACCTCAAAACTAAAAATAATAGAATCAATAATCTAATACTCCCCCCACCATGTTCCATAATTGAATGAACCTATGCATAAACCTTATCAATATTAATCGACGATCACTCCACTCCAATATACCACCACTATTCATTTAAGCACGTGATATGGTCATTATTACTACTTATAATATAGTTAAAATGTTTCAAATTTAAAAGTTCGAAAAATATGTTATCGAAAATATTAGGCGTGGTATAATTTTTCTTCCTCGAATCCTCTGGTAAGTACAACATTAAATTTCATATAAACGACGATTTTATAACTGTGCACTGTTTATTAATTCTTAAATCCATTTAATTATTTCATGTGACTTTTAAATATTCGCCCGACACTGTCCCCAACTTCATTCTTTGTTCTCGTTTGTTGCCAGACACTACCGATCACGCCATGGTAGTCCAGAAGAAAGAAAACGTGTTCAACACACTCAACGAATGTGAAGTGGAAGATATTACTTTAGAGTTTTTCTACAAGCCCCATACCATTACTTTATTGATACTGTCCATCGCTGGTGTAATTTTTATGTCTTTCATCCGAGATGATAAATCCATCGATAACAATATATGTGCAGGAATCTGGTGCGTTATATTTTTTTTGCTTCTCGTATCCCTACTGGCATTCCCCAATGGCCCTTTTATAAGGCCACATCCTGCAGTGTGGCGAATGGTATTTGGTCTAAGTGTTCTATATTCATTAACACTGTTATTTTTATTATTTCAAAAATATGAAACAATCAAAGGAATGATAACATGGCTCGATCCAAATTTAAAAGATTTTCGAATTGATATGGATAAGGAATATGGCGTTAACTGTTCGGATATCAGTATTGAAAAGTTTTGGGCACACTTAGATGTGTTCGCTGCTGGTCATTTTTTTGGTTGGGTATCTAAAGCCATCCTAGTAAGGCATTATGGAATATTATGGTCAATGAGCATGATGTGGGAATTTACTGAAGTCATGTTTTCTCATTTATTACCCAACTTCAAAGAATGTTGGTGGGATGCATGGATTCTAGATGTTCTACTGTGCAATGGATTTGGTATATGGGTTGGAATGAAAATTTGCAAAATGTTAGAAATGAGAGATTATAACTGGCCTGGCATCAAAGATATAGATACAACCAAAGGTAAAATCAAGCGAGCTGCGCTTCAGTTTACACCAGTAAGTTGGACACCAGTTCGGTGGTTAGACCCAAATTCATCATATATGCGTTTTTTTTCTGTATGCCAAATGGTGATCATGTGGCAAGTATCTGAATTAAATACATTCTTTTTGAAACACATATTTGAAATGCCACCATCACATCCAATAGTTGTTGGCAGGCTATTCATTTTGAGTATTGTAGTTGCGCCATCTACTCGACAATATTACACCTATGTGACAGATCCAAATTGTAAAAGACTTGGCACGCAGTGTTGGGTTTATGCAGTCATAATGGTCACTGAGTCATTACTATGTATAAAGAATGGAAAAGAGCTATTTCAACAAACTGAAATTATTAATATATCAGTATGGTTAATGATCATGTTATTCTTCTCCGTTGTCAGTGTTTTGGGTTTCTGGCAGGCAGATTGGTTGACAGGAAAAAAAATAGATTCTGCTGTGGTGCAAAATACTACCTTAAAAGATAACAATCTTGGAGAAGACTACACAAGCAATAAAAGCAAAACAAATTAAAATATGTCAACATTATTTTCCTGAGTAGTGTTAACTAGTGGATGCCAAATATTGCACAAATACCTATCTAGTTAGATTAAATTAATTATTTAGGTATTGATTTTTTTTTTTAATTGAGACGTGTGTTTTTTTTTCTGAATTTCTTTACTATCAGATCTTGTATTGTTATTAGTTATTGTAATAACATTATGACAAAAGACTTATTTAAGCCTAGTCACCTTATGTGTATTCGTTATGATTTAAAATATAATAACATATTACTTAAGATTATTGGAATACCTTATGGTTCTTTATTGTGATAAAAATATCAAGTACTGAAATATGTAGTATCTTGTGTTAAATGCTTTAATAAGTGACTGGTATAGGTAGGTAGTTTTAATATAATTTTAATATAAGCTTTCATTAAAATCAAACAACATTTGTTAAATGATTTTTCTGTTGGTGTTATGGTTTTTAATGTACCTCATGAAAATTAAATTATAAAAGTAAACGTGTTGTAGAATACTAATAATACATGTCATTGTAAACACTTAATTACTTAAATACATCACTAAAAAAAACCCATGGATTTTAAATTTTTACTTGTAATATTATTGACTAGAATATTACAGTCAAGAAACTTTATTATATTTAAATAATTTTTCTGTTGCACATTTTTGATGAAATATTATTTGGACATACATTTTAAAAATGTTGTATTAATATTTATTAATTAAATACTTTGACAAATTATAAAAATATAATTAGATTAATTTTCAACTAATTTATGACTACTAGAAATGTAGAACCTTACTTTGGTTTTATTATAAATTATAATTCTTAGCTACTATTAAAAAGTATACATTGTTTGTCGCGGTGAATATTTAGATAGGAATTTATTTTAATTGATGAACAACTCTGTCATAAATTATGACCTATATAATGTCTAATTACATTTTTCCTTAATACATTTAAATTAGAAATTAATTCTGATTATAATACTATACCTAATCAAAATTAATTATTAATGTAATACAATATTCAATTTGTTTATTTACATTTTCATACAAATCATATCATTTTAATAAATTATCCAGTAATATTTATTGCTATTAATTACATATTTATATTTATAATAATAATTATTTTTAATTTGTCAAACTTTTCATGTCTAATTACTTTAAAACAATTTATTTGTTTTATCTTAAAATGGAAAATGTGTTTTAAATATTTTTTTGATAAATATAATTATGTTATTTATTTTACATTGTCTTGAAGTCTAATAACATACAATTATTTAAATTTAGTCAATTACCATTTTATCTTGATATGTAATATGATAAGTAAATAATTACATCAGATTTTATTGAAACAATTGCATTACAAATTAATTAAGTGTAAACTGAAATAGAACATTGGAAATATATCTTATGTTATACAATTTTTATATTTAAAGAAAACTAATTTATTACACTTTATATTATTATAGAGTACAACTATCTTCCTTCATATATTTCGTCCTTAAAAAGTGTAAACTTAATGAAAATATGAAACCGATATTTTTATCAATGCTTTTTAATTGAATTTTATTACTAACTATGCACAGATTACTAAGGTGTTCCTTGAATACTTAACTATTAATATTTTATTAAATATTATGTGCTGTGATCTGGTATACCATAAGATTTAAGACCTGGTATGATTTCGTATTGACCTTGATAATAATTTATTTTTTTATATTCTTATTTATTACCTTTAGTATTGTATTAATTTATTTTTCATCTCTATACTCATTAATTAATAACCAATAAATTTAATATTTTTATTCATTAAATATTGAATTATTACAATATCATAGGTAGTATTTTATAGTATAGTTTATCAAACCATGTGATATTAAATAGTTTATACGTTGTAAGTTAGTTTTTACATTAAATAAATTACATATCTATTGATTAAATTTTAAAATAATTACATTTTTACATTATAGTTATACATAAATACATCAATGGCTGTACATTTGCATGAATTACACTATTTACATTTATACAAAGGTAATTAATAAAATTTGAATAAAAAAATCATTATAGTCGTTTTCTATTTTTGCTAAGCCATTTTAATTATTTTCGAGTTCTAGCATAGCCTTTTTTATCCAATTTATATAGTATGACACTCGTGTGTATACACCTGGCCTATTTTTTTTGCCACATCCATCACCCCATGACACTACACCTGCCAATGTAAACTTTCCTGCAAATAAATTATGTTGAAAGAAAATATTAAACCGTGCATGTAGTTATGTAAAAATCATACGCATTTTTATACTCTTCTATCTATTATGTATACATACCATTGATCTGACAAGCCAGAGGTCCTCCAGAATCGCCTCCACAAGCATCAACGCCACCTTCTAAACTTCCTGCACACAACATACTATCCAATATAAATTGGTGTCGGCCTCCATATACATCATTATGTCGACACGTTTCCAAATCCAGCAGTGGGACAGATGCTGCTTGCAGTACTTTGGGTAAACTAGTCATATCGTCTTCTAAGCAAATTACTCTCATAATTATATTTAAACTTATCATAATATTTTTTTAAGATTATATGATGTTATTGGACTTGTGTACTTGATTAGTTTAAGAATGTTGAACTATTATGAACTATATATATATATATATATATATAGATACATACGTTTTTGTGCTCCCCATCCAGTTACAGTACACCAATCTACGTCATTGGATTTTGTATAATATTCTGGCAAACATATTGGTTGCACGTGAGAATCAAATTTTATTCCATTACTGTTGAAAGCATTAATCTTTAATATGGCTATGTCATGGCTGTGTGGTCCATCTAAAATATTATTTTGTTGTGAACATTTTTAAGTATACTAAGTTAAATAGGTGTCTTCTATATGTTACTAATATTATATTTGAATACTTTCATGTTAATTCCATTAGTTAAGTATAAATTATTAATAAAACATATTGTTGAAAATATGTCTGATTTAAAAATATTACATCACAGTATACATGTGTTATAAAAAAATATGACCAACTGATTAATTAATTAAAAAACTCATTTTTAATTTCTATTAAAACAAATTGACTTAATATTTTTTATGTTTGATTTATCAATGGAATACTATAAAAAAAAAAAAACATTTGTTTTGCCTGATCTATCTGTGTATATGTACATCTGTAAATTTGATTGTGTAAATCTATACTTTTTATAAATGTAAATTTATAAAAATTATACCTTTTCTAAAGTCTGGGTGAATTATTGCCTTTTGAACTCTATACGTTTTTTCATGTTTATCATTTTTTGCTAGATTATGTTTACCAACAATAATTCGCAATTGCGATTTTTTAAAGTCCTTTAAACAATGAGCAGCTGTTAAGGCTATAGTCTCAGAAACAAGTGCTCCTCCACAATGATGTTCCCATCCTCCTTTGTATGCTTGTAATTCAACCTGTAATAATTAAAATTCTGAATTCATTATACTCATTCATAATATATTCAGAAACCTAACCTACTTATGTAGGTACTATATTAAATGTGTATATATAATGATTAATAATAATAAATATTTTTAATATAATATTAGAAGTAAATTAAAAACAAACTTGTGTGCCAACGATTTTTAAAGTTCCTTATAATATTATTTACCAAAATATAATAGCTGGTATTAATTATATAATATAATATTATATAATAATATAATTATCAACAGTTAACTGAAAATATAAAATCATATGCTTTATAGTCTACATCTAATTTAATAAAGTAACAAAGAGAGAAAAAAGTTTTCCAAAATTTGTAATTTATTTTTGTATGTGTAATTATAAAGTGTTATATTATTTAAATAAGTATAATATATTACAAATTTTGTTTATAAGACGCCACATCTGTATTGTTTAAATGTACCGATGTTAATTTTAATATTAGAGTAAACTGATCTATTATCAAACTTAAAGGGAAGAACATTATTTATGTTTAATTGGTTGGTTTTTTCCGATATTTAAATTTTAAGCAAGTTATGAGTACCTATGTAAAATATTAATTAAAAAACTCATAACTCGTTTAAAATTTAAAATATCGGAAAAACCAATCAATAAAACACAGATAATGTTCTTCCCTTGAAGTATTATTATAGCTTAGTTTAATATTAGAATTAATATCACTACATTTGAATCACTAAACGCGAATTTGCTGTAGTACGTGTGTTAGGAAACAACACATGCGGTTGTAGTGCAGGGGCATTTTTAGACTTACTTCTAGTGGGGGGGGGAGACTTAATTTTTTTTTTTATTCAGGTTCAAAATTTACGAGTAAAATTGTTGGTAATATTTAAATCAGGTGAATTCTTAATATTTGTGGTTTTTTTTTTCTTAATCTAAAATCCGGATCCACTTAGAATGGACTTTTGTGTAGTTCTTTTTCAACACCTAACTGTATTATGAAAGTTTCGCTTGTATTTTATTTGATTTTTCACTAAGTATGGACCAGGGCTTAAATCAAAATAATATATTTATTGTATACTGTTATGGGACATTTAGAGGAAAGATAGAATACATATTAAAAAGTAATGAACTTTTATGGGGCAAAGCAACTACGGAGTTCAGTTGGGAAATAGACTCATCGCAAATTCTACCCCCAGAATAGGTAAAGGGCTTGACACCGTGCATCACAATGATGCTTATAAGCAAAATATTAAAGTGGGATAATTTAATTCTTGTTGTAAAACGGTTGCAAGAATTATCAGAATTATTGACTGTTAAACGAAAACGTATACACAATATATTAAATAATTTTGTTCTAATAATTATTGAGTTTATTTTAAAATTGCTCTAAAATTAATTGTTAAATTTGGTTATAAACGGAGGCAGGCGACACTTAATTATAGGAAGCCAGCATTCTCAACCTCAGCCCACCTCATAGCACTGATAAATAAATATGGAAGATTAATATATATATATATATATTATTATATATATATATATATATATATATATATATATTATTATGATAATTTATTTTAGTTACTTTTTCAAATTAAATTTATTATCAGTCTTTACAACAAGTATGTTATACGTGTTTAAAAATAGATATAAGTTAGGTGGGTTTATAGAATATTACATCATATTATTTTATTTTTAAGATTAATACCTATATTTTTATTTAATAGAAAGTTAAGAAAATTATAAACTCCAGGCCTAATTAAATAATAGCACTAAATATAATGTTAACCTATGAATAATTAATAGAATATGTTAAAAAAATGTACCTATTTACTATAAGAAAAATATAGTTTAATGGAAATCATGACAAAACAATACACATACACAAGTAATAAATTAATATAATTTATGAATAAAGAAACTTGGGATTAGATTTTTCATCAGTATGCCATACAATACTACGATTTATAAATATTTGAGTTTTGTCTGTAGGTACTACTAATAAAATATGAAAATTTTAATCAACCCATATTTGCATGTGTGATTTATAATTGATATAATTACGAAAAATGTATATTGAAATGGTAGTTTTGATTATTATTAATCATTAAAATTTACTAGAAAAGTTTATAAACATATAGGTTACCTGCCACGGGTAAGCTCCGTAAGGTGTAGACGATCCTCCAATAATTTTTGTCTGTGGCCATATTCGTTGGTTTAGATGATGAGATACTACTCTTGTGCCACAAGCTTGGAAATAATCTATAAAAATGAAAATTATTTTAAAATGCGTTTTAATTGAAACTAGTGAAACGTGTTTAAATTCATCTAATGTATTCTATATATTCCTGATAAATAGCAAATAATTGTTATCTGTTTAGTATAGCAACTCTAAATGTCTTGTTCCCTCAACAAAACATATAGGGAAGCTAACAAACGTTTGACAACTGACTATAAACTGGAATAAAAGTATAAATTGTAATGCTTATTGGCGCGTATTATAAAAAGATTATTATTATTATACAAGTAATGTCGTTCTATGAAATTTGAAACAAATTTTTTACGATACAAATGATGTAGTACACGCGGAGTGCTATTATAGATGCATACTGACTATACGACTAGCATTGAGTAACAAAGACGACGTTTTTACTCTTATTTATGTAATACCTTATACATACCTAATACATTATACCATAGAACATATATATTCTATGATTATACCTACCTGCATAACCATTCATTATGAACACCATTGTTATAATTTCCATTTCACTAGCCCACATACTGAGCAAATGATTAGCTAATTGAAAACATTTTCATGTGACCTCATATTAATTTTCCATTAATTAAATATTTTACAGTTTCAAATCATTATGAGTGAACTTGATCCATCATTGCAAACATTGTCTAAGGTAAACATCAGTACAATTAGTCATGAAGAACTTAAAGATTTAACTGCAGAAATCTTAAATGAAGTTCTAGACAAAGATAGCGTATTAGGAGACCTACCTAACAATGTCACACTAGGAGAAGTTGATTTACAAATTGCTGTCGAACATGGTCGAGCAATAACTCTTTACTTAGAACGTTTTGATGGTATTGTTTTGCCTATTGTTGTAAGTATTCCAGTTGGTACTTAACAATTTCATATATAATATGTATATATTTCTAAATTAATATTTAATATATTTAAGATGTCTATATTATATTTGATTATTTTAGGTACAAAAAACAGGAGCAAAAGTGATAGATTTAAAAAAAAGCATTGAAAGAAAAATGACATTACATTTAAAAAGAGCAGGTGAAAGAACTACTGTGAGTTGGAAGAGAATTTGGAAAACATACTGGTTAAGTTGTAATGGAAATAAGATGAAACATAATAATGATTTAATCTCGGAGTATGTGGAAAATAATTCAAAAATAATATTTGTTAAACGATTTAGAGAAAAAAACATTCATGACTTATAAATTAAAAATATTTTAATCGTCAAATATTTATACAATAATTTATACACAGTGAAATAAAAATATGAAAAATACACATATTATTAAGAAATTATAGCCTAATTTTCTGATGAAACTGAAGAAGATGAAGAGTGTGATGTTTGAGAACTGTTATCATTATCTTCACCATCTTCTGAAGACTCTTTACCAACCAATTTATAGTATTCTGCCATAGTAATTTTTTTAGGTAAAACCTCTGAAAAAAAAAAAAAGTAAAAGATTATACTTTTATGCTTAAATTATTTTAGAAAATTACTATACAATCTAAGTACTAAAAAAAAAATATTTACTACAATGTATCAATTAAACCGAACAGTGTATTTTTATATAATTACGATTATTTATATATAATAACCAAACTTTACAAAGATTTACCATAGATATGAAGTACAAATTAATAATGCTCTACTATAACTAATTATTATACTATAATATTAATGGTCAACTGTTTTTATACTAGAAAAATTTTATTTGGAACTAAACATTCTAATGAAATCAAGTGGTATGTATATTAGTATGTAGTACATTACAAAGAACTAACATTTTGTGTAATATTGATTTCAAAAAATGTCTATCAAAAAAAAAAAGTTTATCATTAAAACTAAAAATGCAAAATAAATAACTTGAAATTAAATACATATTTGTAGAGACTGTTATTTTAAAATACTAATATTTTTAAATTGTATACTTTTTGATTATTATTATTTTACATTTAATTTTACAGTTAATAAATATTTAAATTTAAAAACTGGGTTAGCAAACATTAACTTTATATAAATATGTTCGAAAAAAAATGTCCTAAATTAAATTTAGACTATCAACTAAAATTTGCTAATTTGCAATTAAATGCAATATTATTTACCTCTTAAAAAATACATGTTTTCATTTTCTTCAACAGCTCTAGCAAGGTCGTTATATTCTAAATGTCTATGATGTCTTTGGCTTTTGAGAGCATCCATTGCCAATTTTTGTATAAATAACTCCTAAGGTATAATAATTTGATTAGAAAATTGACAAACACACATAAATGTGATTAATACTGTAAAATAGAATAATTTTCATTGATCTCACCGTCGCTTTAGTGACAACATGCAATGATGGTAATCCTATGTTTTCTATATCTGGGGTACTTTTCATAATGGTACGCACCCTAGATATAGGTAAATGCATATCTTTTGACCTTGGTGCCTTTGATTTATCTTTACTAGGATCATTTTGATCAGTACTCGTGCTGGAAGCTAAAATCAAACCAGATAATAAATGCTTAAACAGTATTATGTAAGTGATAAATATACTCACAATTCATAGCTGACATGATAATTATTATTTTTTCGATATGTTTTATTTGTCAATTCTAACCAGAAATCTATCCAACTAGTAGTATAAAAAAAAATTAAACACTCCTTAAATCCAGATTCTCAAGTTTTTACGGTGAGCTATAAAAGCACATTTTATTTTGTCTAAACGTTAGGTTTCCGATTTTTTTGTTTACATTGATAACAACGGTCGTCTGATAACACCATAAACACTGTTCATAATACAAAAATACCGCCAAAAAATCTCACGTTCTCGTGATTTGAAATTAATACAAAATTAGAAATGAAGACAAAACATCAACTATTCAATACCTAGTAGCGCAACTAAAGTACAGATCTTGAAGGTGCTACATTATGAGCTCCTATCATTACACTTAGCCAATATTTACATTATTTAACTATTATATTCATAATAATATCTATTGTTATACGAGGTGTGGCTATTTTAGTAGTATATAATTAAAAATAATTTAATTTACAATTAATTTAATTAAATGCATATATCGATTGTTTCTAGATTATGTAGTATATTATTTATAAATTATATGTGTAATATTAAAAATTGTCCATATTATTGTAATTTATCATTACCATTAATTGTGTAATTTTTAGTCTACCAAAACTAATTGTCGGATCGTCAAAGGTCCTTCAAGTATGAAAATATCAGCAAAACTATTGTTGTACAGTGTAACCCTGATACTTAAAGTACTTAACATCTGTAACTTTAATAGATCGAAAACTAATTAATATTTTTTTTCATATTTAGTAGCTACGTTTTTTGTAATAAAGTAATTTTAAATACACATTCAAAAAATTATATACATTTTTTGAATTAATATTATTTATTTTTTTGCATATATTTGTTGAAGAAATAGGTATATTTAATACATTTTATGTTAAATAATTGCATATTTTGACATTTCATAATGCATAACATATTTTTATGACATTTTGGTCATTAACATCCGAGCTCTAATAATAACTATATTTTACTATATATATATACATATATTAGGTCTTGTTTTCGACTATTTATAGCATTATAGCAAAACTTGGTTTATTTTCCCAGGAAATTGTTTATTGACGATGTAGACAAACAATGTATCATTACATTATTCTATTCAGTGGTATAAGGCTTAGCTTCCCAATTTTTTTCAACTCAAGGCGCCCTTTTTGATTCAAGGTTTTTTCAGGGCGCCCTTCTCTAAGTCATAGCATGACAAATCATAAGGAAAATGTTAGACCCGATAGTATTTCATGACGGCGCGGCGCCCTTATACATACATCGCGGCGCACACTTTGGGAAACAATGGTATAAGGTATTAACTATTTTAATATTTATTACTGTAAACGTTGAGCAATAGTGCAACACCAATGTCTTATATTATTTATATTATAATACAACAAGTAATAAAATAATATTTTTTTTCTATAACTGTGGATGTGTGTCTATTGTGTGATAATGTAAATTTAATGCATTACTAAATTACATATTTAATTATTAAATTAAAAATGAAAAGACAGTCGAATGCCTTTATTTCTTTTTTTTTCAAAAAAAAGTTAAAGAAACTGATCAAGAAAACAGCTTGTCAAAATGTGATTCAGATCAAGATCAACCTAGCAAAAAAATTGTGGTAATAAAGTTGAACTATTTTTTGAAATAATCTAAATGTTCATACATTTATGTATTTCTTATTTCTATGTAATTATTATCAAGGCTGAGCAAGTTAATGTTTTTTTTTAACTCGTTAAGTTAAGTTTTTTTTTAAATAATTAAGTTAAGTTAAATTAAAAGTCACTATATTTTTTTCGTTAACTCGTTAAGTTAAAAGTTAACTTGGAAAAAAAAGTAACTTGACTTAGTTTAAAGTTAAAATTTCCTAATTTGCAAAAATAAAAATTGCACACATAATATTAGTTTTTTTACGCTCAAGAAAATTACTGGCGAAATTTAAAATGATACATTAAAGTATTAACTAGCTATCAAAAAATCTACTTTTCTAAAATAAATCTTAGTCCTGAACTCATACTCAAATCAATTTACAATTTTAATAATGAAATTAAATTGGAAATTATACCACAGTTGTTTTATATTAATCCCCCATCGACACTCGCTCTCATGGTATTAACTATTTTCACAGATTATTCTTAGAATTTCTATGAGTTTAAACCGTTTATACAATAACAATAAATCTATGTTTCTTTTGTGGCCAGATGGTAACCAGATAATAACGTGCTTTTCTTTCTGAGTCAGGCCGCTCCATACATGATAAAGCCTTGTACAGATATAAAGGCGTTATATTATTCTGCTATTTAGGACATTGGGTCAGCTAGTAAGATAAAAAAAGAAAAAAGAAAGTTGATAAGATAACAATCACATAATGTCAAAAAATAAAAAATTATAAAACACTTAAAATTAAAAAAAAAAAAAATCACAATTTCAGATTTTTTATTATGATACCAACTTATTATATTTAATTTTATTTTTACTTATTTTAAATTAAGTTTCATTTTTATTGTAGTACTTTATGGTACACGATATTTTTTGTTTGATTACTTGGCGCATAAACAGAGCAGATGGTTTTCCAACACAGGAACAGGAAACATACAATTGATTATGCGAGAAACATTTGTTTTCTAGATTAATACCAAAAACACTTAATGACTGTCCCTGGGATTTATTTATAGTCATAGCGAAAGCAAGCCGTACTAGAAACTGTAGTTGTTTAAACTCGAATGGTTCGTTAGTCGGAATCATTGGGATGCGACGTATCAAAACGTCTCCTCCTTTTCGCTAGGAATGTCATCTTGCATTTTGAAATTTAATTAATTTACATCAGTGTTTTTGGCAGCCAGTATAGCTCGTTCGCTTAACCAATCATGGAATAAGTATTTTTGAGCAACATTTGGAAACATTTTATGAATGAGTTCAGCTTTTGATTGCGTTAACTGACAAAAACTCTCAGGAAAGGTGATGCAGCCAGTCAGCACATCTATAGAAAATTTGCCATTATCAATATCAATGAATTGTTTAGAGAATATGTCTCCAGATTGATCACTTTGTAACATGACACGCATATTCTTACTTAAATGTAATACATACTTTTGTTCTTCGTTCAATAGTGGAAGATTTATTTGAATCTATTTTTTCAAAGTATTGAGATCATACGATTTTTCATGTTGATAAAAAGCATCGTGCATTGGGCGATTGAGCAAGGCCATCCCTAATTGATATAATAGCTTGTTTGACATCATCAAGCACATATCCTCAATGAAAATCGATGTCTGATTGTAAATTTCTTCACTTATTTGTAAATTCATATTCTCTGTTCTATTACGTATATTAAATAAAATACCGCCACATATATTATCTTTATATTTTATCCACAAATCAATTGGTTTTGATGGGAATTATGTACATATGATAATGGAAAACAATGTTCGTATTTGATGAGCTTGTGATGAAATTACAGCATCATTGAGAATTTGATCCCAATATTCATCGTTTTCTAACAGTTGCAAACGATGACAGGCTTCTCTGTAAGATCCACACAATTCACCATCAACTGTTCGTAAATGTTGGAATAATGTTGGAAGCACATTGCCGTAAATAAAAACATTCATCGTTGCTTGGATGAACAGAATAAATTCGACCTATTGCATCAGTTAACCTGGGTAACCTGGAACTGGTTTTCCTTGTTTCCTTCTCATAAATTTCTTTGTTGATTGATTTCAAGTATAATATTTTGACATTTCAGAATATAGCAGTGTTTGTGCGAAATTATCATTTTGGCACGTCTCGAAAAAAATGATTATAAAAAAAATGGTAGTAGATAGGTGGCTGGTGAACTCTCTGTATTGTATTCTGAGCTATAAAATACACTCTCTGTCAGTTTTCTAAGTGCACGGCTAAGTGAACAACTGTGGGGTGTTTTTCATGAATTGGAAAAGAAAAAATTCGCCAAAACGCTTCATTACTGCTAACATAGCGGCCCATTTGGTATTGGGTTACTTCCTTATTTGAATTTTTTGCACCAAATCCAATCACAGCCATATCACTTCCTTTGGTTACATATTTACATATGTACTTTAATAGATTTTACTGAATGGCAAGATTCAACATTGATGTGTGCTTTGAAAGTTTTTGATAAGATCGGTGAATATGGAACAATCCAGCGATTATCTATTTCAATATCTTGTTAATTTATTTTGACAATTATTTTCCATTGGCTGCTAGTGATCGCCGACGATAGAGTGGATTTCCAATATTTCCAGTAATTGTTTCCGATATTAATGTGCTTTGAACATTTACCATCTACCATACACAGTGTATTTTGATTAAGTGTTCCACATGGACCATGTATAATGTTTTTAATAACTACCTTATGCAAGCCAGGATCTACTTGTTCATTAGTGATTTCAGCTGATATGACTTCATCAACTTCATTTGGCCTAATTTTTTCTACCAACCAAATCAAAATGTGTGCATGCGGCAATCCACGTTTCTGCCACTCTACAGAATACATCCAGCAGTGTGTCTCACCAAACACAATATTTAATAATTAAATCCATTTTATATGTCATTAGTTTTAATTGACTTTTAATTTTACTTTTTTTAACTAATATCAACCATAACAACCATCTATAAACAAAAATTTCCATCGTATATCTCGAAATTTCTGTTTAAGCACCTCCCGGGGTCGGGCCTATCACTTATTAACTTCTTTTAAACCATCCAGGGCGTCACAAGAGCATATTTGAGGGGATAGGAGGGGTATTCGCCCCCCCCCCCCTCATGAATCGTATTTTTTTTGAATATAATAAATTGATTTATTTAAAAAAAGTAATGTATAAATAATTAAGAATATAAATTACTATTGTATCATTATGTTATCATTATAACAGGAACATAAGCTGTAGTTAATGAACTGTAAATTACTTTTTAGTTTGTATTGAAGAAAAATTAATTTCGCGATTAAAGTCCAGTAGTAAATATACTGAGGAAATGATAAGTCACTTCTTTATCAAAACGGTTCTTAGCAAAGGTTCAGTATAAAAATCAACTATTTATAAGTATATTTTACCTTTTTTAGTCTAATTATTGGTAGGTTTTTTTTTTATCAACCTGTTTAACATTTTATTGTTTGACGAAGAAAATTTTTGTTTTTAACCAAATATTTATCTGTATTCAATGTTTCATTACAAAAATTTTCACTACAAAAAGCTACTCGTCTTTGAGAGAAAAATTTTGAGAAAAATGTATGGACCTATTTTCGATGACAAGGAGCAAAAATTGCTAAGGAGGTCAAATGAGGATCTGAAGAATCTATATTCAAAAGAGGGCATAGTGCAGTTCGTAAGGAGTTCAAGACTTGCTTGGACTGGGCATGCGTGAAGAGCTGATGGGTCCCTCATAAAGATG